GAATTATTTCTAATATATTCTCTACTCATTGGATGACATTGATACTTCTTTAGCTACTTCTTCCGCTACTGATAATACTGTCATACAGAGGAGGGACAAGATCTGTTCTCAATCATCCCAGAGTGTAGGACATGCAACAATAGGCTCAAGTTAAAGAACCTATATTTCAGCTGACTATCAGGAAAAAATTTCTTACTATTAGAGCAGTTTGACAGTGGAACCAGTTACCTCGGGAGTTGGTGAGTGCTCCAACACTGGAGGCACTCAAGAAAAACTTAAATAATCACCTGGCAGATATGCTTTGATTGTACTCCTGCATTGAGCAGCGGGATGGACTTGATCGCCTTGTAGGCCCCTTTCAACTTTACTTTTCTACAATTCTATGATAAGATGCGTTGTGTAGCTGAAATAATTAACTATTTAAACAACTTAGTGAACGGGAGGAAAGGTATCCAAGAAGGTCTATGAGTTTATGCTGAGAGGCCATGTGAGAGATTTGAAATAAGACTTCCACTACACTGGCAAGCCAAATCCCTCACAGCCTGTATTATGTTTGAATTTGCAGTCAGTGATCGCACAGGGCTGAGGACTGAGTGCAGTGTTCATACTCAATGTTCCCACTCAATTCATCCCACAGCTCCCCTTCTTTACTTATTTCCTCTGGTCCGACCTTTGCCTTCATGTTTCATTGTCAACCATTGAGAGGGTTGTCCAGTGTCCCCCCCCCCAAAAAAAGTGGCAGAGTTCCACAGTTCTTCTTAAAGTGTATAGAAATATATACCATAGGAATGTCTTTCATTTCAGGTGGATTGTTTGTGGTTTCTTCACTATTTTTTTTCTCAGCTGCAGGTGATCTAGTGCTAAACTACTACAGTATATCAATGCTGGTGGTAAGGTGATCTAGCGCTAATTTCAAATCTGAGCTGACCTGTACTGTAACTGCAGCTAATCACCCAGTATTTGATCATGCAGTCAGGAAGTGTTTTGAAGTTCTCATATATTATATCATTAGGACATGTCTACAGTTTCAACTATTTCATTGCTACCTTTTAGGCCTAGGAGGAGGTAGGCAGTTATTTGACCGTGGCAGGTAGTTATTTCAGGACACTAGCAACTTCTGTTGAGCGGGGGCAGACCCTTGTATTTGCTTACTTATAAAAGGGTTAGCATTTTCTCCAGCCATTATTTTCGATAGTGGTCTTTTTAATCATTTTTTCTTGCATAGTTTTTGTAACTTCCTCTTCCCCCTGCTCTGTCTACAGATGGTTACTATGATGAACTTCGCTAACATTTGTGCTAGCAGCCCTGAATAAGACCTTACAGCCATTTTTGAATTGGTCAAGGCCACAGTGTTTGCAGGTTAATGATCGTTTACAGGTCAGCTCAGGAGATGGATTGGCTGCTGCTTTCCAAACGGCAACTAATTCTGCTTCGGAGCAATTAGCCCTTTAGTTTGTTAGGTGAGAGTTGTTCACCCTGCTCATCCTTGGCTGACGCAAGAGCTTAAAAATGAGCTGTCTTCTCTTTGTCATTTAGAACAACAATCAGAGCACTCCTTTTAAAATCTGCATTGGGAAGATATTTTTTTGAATTTAGATAAAGTAGGCTTTTTATTAGTCTACTATTTTGGTGCCGGCACACAATGCAAGGCAGTTACAGTATTTAATATTTTTGAGCTTATGGGCCCCATAGTTAGATGTATTTTTATCTCCCTTAGTTGATGCCCTGGCTGATTACTTTTTTCAGAAGGCTCAGAAACTTTGACTGCTTTAGCAGGTTTTATTCTCTCTCATTCCTTTCCATCTCAGCCTACAGAGAATTAATCTGAATTTCCATGGGTGTCAGAGGAGCAGTTTCTACAATTCTGTTTTCTCCCTAACTACAGCTGCTATAAATTCTCTTTTCTTTATTTCACTGTACAGTTTCTTCTCTCTTGCCTTGTTTGACCACTTTGGTGAAACTGTTCACTGACTACTGACAAATTTCCAGGTTCAGATGAGCATGCTTTTGTCCATTCTTTGTTGAAAAACACACACACTTTCCTTTGATCCTTCTGTTTGTGTTAATTATGTTTATTTCTCTTCTTCCTTTTTTTGTCTAACATTTTGAAAAGAGTAATCCTTTCTTAACTGGCCTCTGATTAAGCCTGTCCATGTTTTTTTTTCAATCCATTACAATATGGATTTCAAGCTACACATTTATCTGAGGCAGCACTCTCTCAAGTTCTGAGTAATATCCTGGAGGCCAAGGCTCAACATTATTCATCAGTATTTATGTTGCTTGATTTGTCAATGGCATTTGATACACTTCACCACCAGATTTTGGCAAGACTGGCCTTTTGGGGTATTTGGAAATGCCAGCTCAGTTTTCTTATTTATTAAATCATTCCATTCCAGTTTCTACAGGTATTAAAACCTCTCAATCTTTCCTCTCTGGCTGCTGGTGTTCCACAGGGCTCAATATTTGACTCTGTTCTGTCCTCTCTACATAAACTGCCCTTGGGTGCTTTAATTTCCAGTTTGGGTTTTCATTATCATATTTATGCTGATGATACTCAGGTGTACCAATCTTATCCTGAACTTAGTGATGAGGTCTGGCCATCCTTGACAAGCTGCCTCATCATGGATGTCCTGCCATCATTTGAAGCTGAACTTGAATAAGACTGAAGTCTTGATCTGTCATTCTGATCATCTTGCCTATTCCTTGAACTGTTCTTCCTTCCTTTCCCTGGGTTGTTGGGTGATCCATCTCAGAGCCATGGATCTCAGAATTTTAGTAGATGATGGGCTGTCACTTCATTCATTTGTGAATGGAGCAGCCAGGGTATATAACTTCCATCTGGCTTCCTGACCCCTGGTGCCTGGGAGCTCCTTGTTCATGCCCTGATGGTTTCATAATTAGATTATTGTAATAGTCTTCCTTCTTCTTCACTCCATCCTCTTACTCTTATACAGAATAGTACGGTACAAGTGGTTTTAGTTTTATCATGTTATTCTATTCCCTATCATCATAGGACATTGCATTGTCTGCCTATTAGGTCAAGGACATATTTTAATACCCTTCACATTTAACTGTTTTTCTTTTCCTAATTATTCAGTGGGGCTGGTTCCACAGTATATTCCTTTTATAAGGAGTCAGTACACAGATTGCAGAATTTTCTCTCCTCTGCACCTCCAAATGGAAGCCAGCCAAATTTAGATGAGGTCTGAAAACCTGTCTGTTCAATCTGGGGTCTTAGATGTCAGGTCTAGGGAGAGGTGGGTGACCAGTGTACCGTATTTTTTTTAATTGGCTTGTTGGTAGTAAAATTCTTTTTGAATTGCTGCCCATTCCAAAGAGTTTGTGTTTGCATGTTTATTGGTTTTAGTAGAATGTCCTCTGACGTGTGGTGCAATATAAATAAATAATTATTGCTATATTATTATTATCTAATATTTCATGGGAGGGCATGGATGACATGGAATACTATTAATTCCACTTTGTCCAATGCGATGAAGTACAATAATGATGTTTTATACCTTATTTCTCATGTTTGAGAAGTACACCACAATGATAATTCAGATCCAGGTAAAATTCTCTCATTCCTCAGATGCTGGACTTCAAACCCCATCATTCTTGATAACTTGCCACATTGCCTGAGGTTGAAGGGAACTGCAGTCCAGCACACTTGCCTCAAGGAAGGCTGTGTGATATGGTACAGAACCAATGGCAGAAACTGTAATGCAGATACATTGGACTGGACTACACTTCCCATTGCCGCCTGCCTACAAGAGCCAAGTCAATGTTGGGCGTTGCAGTGCATCACATCCAAGGGACAATGGGCTAGAGAAGGCTGGGCAAGTGTGATGACCTATTTTTATGCTAGCATTTTTCTAAGCATGTGGATCATCATGACTAATACCCCATGCTTCTAAAATTCTATTAGAGGGCCTGTTTATATGATGTCCCATCACAATTGTTTTGTGCACAGTGAGACAGACATCTGTCACCCACCACCACTGCACACTGAACACTGCAGACAATCCCCTGCAAAATGGCCTCCCCAAAGCTGCTTTGTACCACAGAGGAACAGGATATGATCTCCGCAGCTTTTCGTCTGCAGACGAAAGTGAAGAAGGGAGAGGAGCAGAAGCAAGCCTGATGAAAAGCAGAACTGGGGAGAATAAATTTGGGGGGGGACTATGAATTTGAGAAAGGTAGCAATGTTCTAGACAGGGATAAGCAACCCCATCTATGATCATCACCACACTCCTGGCTACATTTTAAAAGGCGAGAAAAAGCAAAAAAAAAAATGCTTATAACTGAGCAGCATGCCTACTCTGGGCCTCCATTCAAACAAAATGCTGCATGTACAAGAGCACACTTACACATCCCATCAGCCCCACCTACCATGACCAATGATCAGAGATTGTGGGGACTATCGTCTAAGACATCAGTGTGCATATGTGTGTATTACAATCCTCCTTCAGCCCTCCTGTAAAATACAGGGAGCCTTCTCTTGAGTTATTTCATCATATCAGAGGAGCAGCAAACCAGTAATTGGAGCTAAACAGTGAGATAAAGTCCACCATCAGAGTTTTAAAAGTTACTTTTATGGACTATAGCTCTCAGAAGCCCTCAGCTGGGGCGTTATTGGAATTGTAGTCCATAAAAGTAACTCTTCCAAGCTCTGAAGCTGCCATACACATATGGTGAGGAGGGCCAGACCCAATGCCACATTATGTAGCTGAATCATTAATTAATGTATTTGTGCGCCATCCATTCAATTCTGACTTATGGTGACCCTTTCCAGGGTTTTAGGTAGAAAACATGCAGAAGTGTGTTTAACACTCCCTTCTTCTGGAGGTGCTCTGGCCCTACAGCCAGGTATTTAAAGCATTAGTATTAAACAAAAAAAAAAAACCCTCCTGTCATTCTTTCATTTCCAAAATATTCCCAATCAGGACGCAAAGCAACTGAGGAAACAGACAGGGCTGCAGCAGCTGATGTTAGCACGGATCGATGAGTGAAGGAAAGCGACGGCACAGATGAGATCCTCCTTGCCGAGAGGGACCCCCTGCAGGAGCTCCGGTGCGGCCACCCCTTCCGTGATCATTGCAAGCAAGGGGGGGGGCGCGGGGTGAAGGCGATGAGAAGGGTGGTGGTGGTGGTGGGATGGAATTGGCAGATGATGGAGAGAAGCAGCGGTGGTGGTGGTGGTGGTGGCGGCAGCAGCAAGGGGAGATGCTACACGCTGTGCTGAGCTGGGTCATACCTTCCTCTGCGAATGTTCCTTTGCAAGCCGAGGAGAGAGAAGGAAAAGAGAGGGGGGAAGGGGGGGTTAGCAGGTCACTTCAGCTGGGAACACCTTGGCCTAACCGCCTCCGGTCTCTGTGCCACATGCCATGGTCAGTAATGCAAAAATTCAGCCATGCATGCAATGTCTTCTTACCATCCAGGGCAGCTTTTGCGCAGAGAGGTCCTACCGCCATCATTCTCGCAGAGTGCCGCTAGGTTAGACTGCTCCTGTCTGAACTTTAAAGTCAAGGGATGTGGCAGGAGGAGGTTTGCTGGCCATGTCCAGAAAGTAGGAGCAGCTTCACTTCGACCGCCCCCGCTGCGTAAGTTCAGGGACTGCAGGGCCTCGAGTTCTTAATCTATGTTCTCCTGGAAATACTGAATACGAACCTCTTTGATTTGAAGCAACTATCTAACCCTGATTAGTACAGAAGCAATGGTGAGAGTATTCTACACATCTAGAAATTACATGGACCTTGTTGGAAGCTGTCAATGCATTCAGGAGTGAAGCTTCTCTCTCTCACCTAGCAAAGGTTCTCTGTTTTCTTTATGCCTCCCTTCCTGTTTCTGGACTCTTGTTTCTTTGAACAGATTTGTAATTTTCACTACTACTGTGCTTTCAGCAGCTCCTGGCTGGCCTTCCCCAACAGAAGGCAAACATTTAACTGGCAAAGAATGAATCCTGAATTTTATAACCAACTCTTCCTTCCAGAGTGCACTTGGCCATTTTTAGAAAATGTTTTAGAAGCCCCCTAAGACAACAGGATTCGAAGTGTCTGGGGCTCAACTGGGGAACTGAGAAGGAGTTGTGAGGAAGTTCAAGAATCAAAAGAAGAAGCTGCAGACCTAAAAAGAAGGTGGTCAGCTCGTATTGTTAGAAACTGAAGGGCCTCTTGCCCCTTCCCCAGACTTCTCCCTCCCTTCCAGCATCCAGAACACCACTGACAGCCGCATCTGAAATGCCTTGCTTTCCAATGTAGCCGCACTGAGGGACAGACACATACAACATACCATACCAGCAATGAGTTCTGTGAGAGGAGGAGGTCATGTGGGGAAATCAAGTGAGGGCACCATCTACTTTGGAGGAGTCCACTCTGAGGTTTCGGCAGCTTACGCCTTCACTATTTGCTGATCGCCCTGGAGGAGAACACCTGTTGCACATTCCCCCGCCCCACCTCCACCCCACGTCTCTCCCTCCCCCCCACACCACACCCCTAGCATTTGAGTCATGCAGCTGTCATTTCAGTCACACCTCCTTCATCCATGCAAGTGTCAGTCCATGCAAAAGACCAGTGGGGCAGAGAAGAAGTGTGTGACTTCTCCAGCCAGTCTACGCTTGACCCCCCCCATCATTTCCAGAGTGCTGCCTCTGATTCTCTCCCAAACGCAAGAACACCCCCGACCCTGAGCCCACTGATATCTCCAGGTACATGATCCAAAAGCAAACAAGAGTTGCACCTAAGAGAAAACCAAACCGTATCAGAGGAACCCTAATGTGTAGCCACGTCACCTGAGTGAAACTGAAGCCCAGTTCCTTAAAAGACACTTAGAGTGACACTGTGAGCAGGAAAAGGGGGTGTCAGGACATGTGCCCTTATTCAATGTGGACTGCAGTCTGAAGCATTATTACAAGGAGAAAGTCTTGACATCTACCAGCAGAACAGGTTTTCAAGAAGGAGGGCTATGGGAAACAACTGCATTTTAAACTGCCCTCCCAACCATTATCTCTTGACCACCAGATACCACATGTTGGAGGGCAGGGCAGGAGGGCATGAACAGTCATTACTCTTAGAGCAAGAGAAGTGATGGGGTCAGCTAACAAAACATCCAAAATGCCATGGTGCCAGTGAATGTTGCCACACTGGAATTAACTTTCAAGGAAGCACATCTTGGTGATTTTCTTAACTTCCGTCTACTGTCACTGACTCCATTAAGAAGCTTCTTTACATGCCAATCACACACTGCAGGTGGCAAACACACCACAGGGCAATTTAAACACATCACACAGAGTAAACCTTTCTTTCCGATGTGTCTTCCTATGGCAAGAGCTGGGATTTACCAGATTCAAGCAAACCTTAAGCATTCCACATTCTCCCCTTCCCACTCACTAGACGAGGCAAATTCGCGGCTCCTGCCACAAGAGAGTACCTTCAAGCTATATATAATAACATGCACCGTGCAAAACAGGTCAGGGTAAAGAGTCAGCCTGACAAGTGTCTTTCAAGCACATCTGTAGTGGGCCCAAAAGCACAGACAATGCTAGGCACACTGGGGCAGACAGTGAAGCCAGAACAGCCTCCATAAAATTAACATATGCAAAGGCTTGGTGCTTCTGTCAAATCTGGTTGTTGTTTTTTTGGAACACATCTCCCCAAAACAGCCTTGCTTTCTGGGGATTCAGGGACCTCTAGTCAAAAAAGGCAGCATTTCCAAGTTCTGCGTTCTCTCCCTGAAAAAATGCACCCCAGGCTTGTCACGCCCGCGGCAACCAACCCTTTAATTGTCTGAGGGTGGAAACAAATTTTCAATTGGTGGCTTGGCCAGCATGACCTTAAGCCCAGCATACCTTCATGTGCCACCTTTCCATACCTGGAGGTGGTGGTTTCCTGTGGTTCCTGAGAAGGATCAGGGTCCTTCAGGGGCAAAAAGAGCTTAGCCCGGATCTTAGTCAATCCCCACATGCTCTTTTTTCTGACATAAGGTTCTGTAGAGAAGAGGGCTCCAAGCCCTCTACCCAGGCATGGGACTGGGTCATCACAAACATCGATGACTGAAGAATCCACCTATGCCGTCCCTAGGCTACCCAAGGAAGAGTCTACAGATCACAGAAAAAAGGTAGCAAGTGGCCTGCTTGTGGCCTGACCAGGTTAACAGCCACTTGTTGTATGAATCCACCCTGAGAGAAAACAGCCAAAGCTGATGTTTGAGAGAAGTGGTCCATGCCCCATCCTTCACAGATGAGCGCTGGTGCAAAAAGGCCCACTGCAAAGGGTGCCTGGAGCAGAGCATGCGAGATCAAGAGAGCGCATCCCCCCCCAGGCAGTGCAGTGCAAAGGCACAGCAGTCTGGGAAGCACAGCATGCGCGTGTCCACACTGCTTACTTAAATCCCCATCCGGTGCCACCGAGGACGATAGCAGCCACCAGGATGGCTCCAGCGATGGAGCCAATAATGATGTTGGTGCCACTGGGACCTGTGGAGGAAGAGTGGACAGAAACATGTGAAAAGGGAAGACCCAATAAGTCAGGGACTGAAGTTACAGGGCAAGGAGTAAAGCCTATGTGAGAAATGGGGAGCAACTCAGCCTGGAGAGAGATCCTGACTTAAGAATGACCGAGGGTCTGTCTTATATATACTTCACAAGAACTCATCGCTCATGGTTCATTGAGATTGGCAGCCAGAGAAAGCAGTTGTTTCTAAATAGCTAGACCTCTATAATTTTACAAACACTCTATCTAAACATAGTGGTTAGAGAAAGAAAATCTTGTGCTGTTCTAAACAGAATAGGGGGAAGAAGATATGAATATAGTTTTTAAAATACAGTACCTACTAGGATTATCTTAAGCCTGCCAGATCTGCTACTTCCCCTTTCCTCAGCAGCACCATTACTGACAGAATCAAACTATACAGTACAACCAGAATGTCATGTCTTGTTGTACTGTATACTGTATAGTTTGAACTGCTGGATAACTCAGTGGTTTAGGTATCTGTCTGCAGAGCCAGAGGGCTGGGAGTTTGGTTCCTCACAGTGCCAGTCTGACAAGGGGCTGGACTCAATGATCCATAGGCTCCCCTCCAACTCTACAGTGCTAGGATTCTAAGATTATCAGAAGCGGAGTTTCAAATAACATTAGCCTTTAAGAGACATAAATCTTGCCAACCATGTCTGAATAATCATACTTGTAAAATAAGTCATTGCTTTTCTCCTGCTGAGCAGTCATGAAACTAAGCAATCAAATTTGCAAAGAGAAGTGAAAAAGCTCTCTCTGTGACAATGAGATGTCTTTCAGCACTTAAAGAAGTCCTCCTTCTAACGATGTGCTATCTGCAAAGTACAGTTTGATCTGACAGTGCATAGGAGCCAAAGACAGAGAGAAGGATCATCACTAAGACAAGACAGGAAGGTCTCTTTCCAGGACTTCATGTTGTTGTTAAATGCTTTCCTTGCAACAAGGAAGGAATCCAGATGGTTGTTGTGGGTTTTTCAGCCTCTTTGGACGTGTTCTGAAGGTTGTTCTTCCTGACGTTTCGCCAGTCTCTGTAGCCGGCATCTTCAGAGGACTGGAGTAGGAACTCTGTCCATGCTCTGTGAGTTCACCCACAACAACCATCAGATCCCGGCCATGAAAGCTTTTGAGAATACAAGGAATCCAGAGCTTGTAAAAATTACTCCTTTTTGCAAATAGAACCTCCTAGAGTCCTAAGGGAACTCTCGGAGCTGTAATCCCAGAAAAGAACATGTTCAGGGAAGAACATTCTATGCTCCACCCACCCACCCCTTCATGTCTGAATAATCATACTTGTAAAAGAAGTCATTGCTTTTCTCCTGCTGACTGGTCATGAAACTAAGCAATCTAATTTGCAAAGAGAAGTAAAAAAAGCTCTCTCTGTGACAATAGATGTCTTTCAGCACTTAAAGAAGTCCTTCGTTTAACGATGTGCTATCTGCAAAGTACAGTTTGATCTGACAGTGCATAGGAGCCAAAGACAGACAGAAGGATCATCACTAAGACAAGACAGGAAGGTCTCTTTCCAGGACTTCATGTTGTTGTTAAATGCTTTCCTTGCAACAAGGAAGGAATCCAGATGGTTGTTGTGGGTTTTTCAGCCTCTTTGGACGTGTTCTGAAGGTTGTTCTTCCTGACGTTTCGCCAGTCTCTGTAGCCGGCATCTTCAGAGGACTGGAGTAGGAACTCTGTCCATGCTCTGTGAGTTCACCCACAACAACCATCAGATCCCGGCCATGAAAGCTTTTGAGAATACAAGGAATCCAGAGCTTTTAAAAATTACTCCTTTTTGCAAATAGAACCTCCTAGAGTCCTAAGGGAACTCTCGGAGCTGTAATCCCAGAAAAGAACATGTTCAGGGAAGAACATTCTATGTTCCACCCACCCACTCCCCATCTATACTTCTGAAATATGATTAAGTGAGATGAAGAGACTGCAGCCAACTTTTAGAAAGCCTTATCCTCAACTTACCCTTGTACTTCTCTGTCTCCCCTGTAGGCTTGGGCTCTGGGATGGGGTCAAAGACACTGCAGTCTTTGCCTGTCCAGTCAGGATAACAGATGCACTGGCCTTCGTTGCTGCAGACCTACAACCAAGAAAGAGACCTCTCAGGACCCTAAAAGATGTCTACCTAGTTTGCTTTTTTAAAAAAAGAGTTGCTTTTCTCTGTAGTGGTACAGAGAGTCATTATAGAGTAGGACAGCAAAAATAATACAATACGATCAAACAGAAAAAGTTGATGCCGAAACATAGTTTTCTAGTGCTTTTTCTGCTGTGGCCTGACTATTTCTGAATGGGCCTATTGTAAAACAAATTCAGTTTGTCCATTAGTTTTGATCTGGCACCTTAATATCAATATTATATAGTGAATTTAACAATATAACTTCAAAAATCTCCCCCCTTGACTCTAAGGCAAGAGTGAACGAAGTCTTGCCTCTCTAAGGTTGCTTTCCGAGCAGCCCCCAGTGCCGCCACCTCCATTTTTTTGTTAAAAATTAGAAGCGAACTGCAGCACCTGGAAGACCACAGGAATGAGGATTCACTATTACTATACATCAAAGGTCCCCTGGGATCTTTTTAACATCCACAAATAACTGGAAGTGGACTTCTAGCCAATTCTGGCTTCTTTTGCTTAATTCGCGTGGAGCTCTGGAAAGTCTGCTCTGGGCAAAGAACTGCCCTGCCAAAGATGCCCTCCAGCTTGCTTAAAATCCAAGAAAATCACAGTAAATGGCTCAACATTTGAATCTGTGGAGATCATGGCCCTAAACGAATGCTAAAAGCAAGACATTTACAAACTGCCCCACTGGTGCAGAAGGTTTACCCCATGGTCAAAGCAGATCTGGCCACCCCAGCTGCCTGGGCAGGTGCTGAAGTTGAAGGCAGACACAGGAAGGCATTTGTGATCGAGACACAGCATGTTGGGTCCACAGGGCGTCCCATCTTCCACGTAGCTTATATCCGAGCCATCCACAAGCTGCACATGGCCGCCCCTAAAGGGAGGAAGAAGGAGCTCCATTGTGTGTAGCTGGGATACTGCAATGCCCCGAGAAATGAAACAGCACAGCTCCCTTATTCTTCTGGATGAATAGGAGTGAAGAAGAGCGGAACGCCCTAAGCGCCCGACGATTCCATTAGCCATGCCTCACAATATACCAGCAATTGACACAGAAGCTGTGGCTGTCTCTCTGCAGCAGCCAAACGTTGCCAATTTGCTCACAAAATAGCCCTGGGCGAGGAGCATTTAACTCTCTCCCTTCATGCCCTTTCCCCAACCACCCTTCCCAAGTAGAGACTGCTGTTTGTTGAATCCTCAGTCTAGGCCCTGCAAGGGGAAAAAAAGCTCAGTGGTTTAGAGATCTGCCTGCAAAGCCAAAGGTTGGGAGTTCCAATCCCCAGCGTGCCTGTTTGGCAGGAGCTGGACTCAGTGATCCATACAGTCCCCTTCCAGCTCTACAGTTCTAAGATTATCGTATTATGAAGGAGCAGCTAAACTGCATATTAACAGGATGGCTCTCCAAGGCTTCTGGTGCTGTTCGGACTAGCAGGGAGGGAAGAGGAAGAACAATTCACACCTGAACTGGCAGGGGAGGGGATGTTTGCTGTCTTGCCATCTGGCCATGCAGCCCTTACTCAGTTTATAAGATGGACAGTACAGTCGTGCCCCACTGGACGATTACCCCATATAACGACGAATCCGCTTAACGTTGAAGTTTTTGTGATCGCTGTTGCGATCGCAAAACGATGGTTTAAATGGATTTTTTTTGTTTCACGATGATCGGTTCCCTGCTCCAGAAACTGATTTTCGCTTTACGACGATCAGCAAACACCTGATTGTCGGGTTTCAAAATGGCCACCGGCTGAAGAAAATTGCCCCCCACTGTTTTAGGACTGATTTTTCGCTTAACAGGCCCCAGAAAATGGCTGCCGTATGGAGGATCTTCACTGGACGAGCAGGTATTCAGCCCATTGGAACGCATTTAACGGTTTTCAATGCGTTTCAATGGGTTTTTTTATTTTGTTTGACGACGTTTTCGCTCTACAGCGATTTCGCTGGAATGAATTAATGTCATCAAGCGAGGCTCCACTGTACTGTCATGAGGCGGAGGAATCTCCAGATGGAGCTCTGGGACCCTACAACCCAGGGGCAGCCCAGAGGGCCCCCAAACTAAGACAGGGCAGTAGCAGCAGTGAGCTGTAGTCCAGGAGCAAAGCGCGAGGCCTGCCCTTGGCAGTCAAGCGTGCAGAAGACCAAAGAAAGGGACTGACACCTCCAACACAGCCAGCAAAAGAAAAGCTGAACTGCTGCAATGAAGGGCTCCAGACACTTGTCGTGAGATGGGCTTGCAAGCTAGAACTATCTGTCTGGATGCCCTGGGCCATAACCTTTCCTCATCTGGTGTTTTTGAGATATTGTTAGATTACAAATCTTATCACCCTTAAGCATTGGCCTGGCTGACTGGGACTGATGGAAGTTACAGCTCAAAATGCATGAAGCCGGACTGGTGAGAGGATGCCTTTGGAAAACAGACATTACAGAGAGGCCACCCATTTCTATTAAAGCCGTTGCACAAGGAAAATGACCTTGGGGAAAACAGGAGTGGTTTTATACTGACTTTTAAATGGATTTAGAAATGAAAATAAATCTTAATAATGCAGAAAAACAGGATAACAAGTACACTGTGGGAACAAAATCTGTTTCCCACTTGACGTGGGAAATCTGTAGGTCAGCCTATATGTGCTTTCTATTTCCCACAACTTTCAGCACATACATTAGCCTGAAAGAATAGGAGGTGTAAGGGTTGTACTTACCTGCAGTCAACATAACGTTTTTGGTGGTAAAAAGTCATTGTGGTGATTTCACCAAGAAGTTCACCCACACGTGGAGACCCTGTCACGTTAGCGCAGAGGAGGTATCCACACAATACATCCCTGAACAGAGAGCGTAGAGACAGAGAGAGACATACACTTTGTAATAGGAATGGGGAACTAATGCTGATGAATGATTACACCCAGGGAAGTCCAACAACATCTGAATGGCTACAGGTTTACCGGTCTTATCATTATCATCACCAGCAGCAGCTTTTTAGTATAAGAAGGGTAGAATTCACAGCTGCTTCCTAGTTAACAGCACTGTGGTCTTTTGCCTTGACACAGGGCATGCAGGGGAAGGGGGGGGAAAACATATACTCACTGCTTGACACATGGCACCCAGCGGTTGGCCTCTCGCCCACAGTTCCCACGCTCAGTGCCTTCAACATTCAACTTCTCGTAACAAAACCTTTCAGCTGAAGCTGAAGTCCCACGAAAGAGAGTATGAAAGAGAGTAAGGGCAGGCCAAAGAATACATATACGCACAACCGTCATACCCTGATTCCAGCAACAAGAGTTGCATTTCACATCTGGGCTACCTGTGCAAACTTTCCCTAATAACATCTTCCCCAAATGTGTGTTGTTGTTGTTGTTTTGAAACCTACTATGTTGGCTGAGGTTGATGGGAGTTGCAGTCCAACAGCACATCTCGAAGGCAGACACCTGAGGAAAAGCTAGACTGAGCGATTCGTCACACCAGCTGCTTCAAAGCAGCGTTGGTGGTCACAAAACAAATAAAGGGGTGCAGGTGCTTCCTGAGGACCAAATATATGGAGAACGAGTGTAGTGTGGTGGACAGGATGAATCAGGAGATCTGGATTCAGATCCTCACTCAACCATGAAAACTTACTTAGGGGTATGAATGGCAAGCCCCTCCTTGAACATTTCTCATATTTCAAAAACCTGTTCAGGTTTGCTATAAGTCCCAAGTGACTTGAAAATATGTAACAGCAGACGCCATCTTGAATAAGATGTAATTCTGCCATTGGTCAGCAGGTGGAGGTGATGCCCTGAGATACGTGGGAAGGAAATCTGATCGAGTTTGCTTGTTTGTTTGATATGACATTGGGAAGTCCTCCACTGACCCAGCTTTTTGTACTATGACTTTTTTTGCCAGAATCACAACTGGAAAGGGACTGCTTTTCCTATTGTGAGGAAATAAAATACACACTAGAAGACTGAAAGAGGGAAAAAATCTAGAGCGTTGCTCTCAAAAGATCACAGTGCAACATCAGAGCCTGTGCCGAGCAGGCCTTCGGATTTTAAATTTACACTGGAGTAGACAAACTTTCACTGAATGCTCTAGATTTGGAGACATTTACAAAGCTATGTTTTAGTACCTAATTTAAGAACAGAGACTTGTCTTACTTCTTATTGATCTGTAACTTACTCTGGAAAGGTCTTCCCAGCTGAAGGGTAGGATAAAAATGGCCCTAAATAAATGATTAATTAATGAGACTTCCATGGTGGACAAATGAGGTTAACAAGATACTTTTCTCATTCTGTCCCCTGCCTTCCCCACTTTTATGATGGGAAGGACACTGGGGCCTACTACAGAGAAGAGGCTGGATGGCATAATTATTATGATGCCCGGAGGGGAAGGACACTGGGGCCTAGTACAGAGAAGAGGCTGGATGGCATAATTAAAATATCCCACTAGGATACCTGATCACTTCATTTGACAGGCAAGAATGCAAGCTCTCCAAATCAGATTATCTAATGATCATCAAATATTGTGGTTCATGTTCTCTTTCCCCTCATTGTCATTTGGGTAGCTGGCTCTACTATTAGGCAGAGTGAATCAACTACCTGAGGTATTGGATGTTCAGAACATAGCGGTAGCTCCTCCCTTGCCTTTCTCTTTCCTTCATTGTCATTTGGGGAGCTGGTTCTACTATTAGGCAGAGTGAATCAACTACATGAGGTATTGGATGCTTAGAACATAGCGGTAGCTCCTCCCTTGCCTTTGCCCCTATTCCTCCTGACTTAGCTTGCTAGTCTCAGGTATGGTGGAGGGTGTGGAAGTGCCATGCCTACTGGATTCTTTCATTGTCATTTGGGGAGCTGGTTCTACTATTAGGCAGAGTGAATCAACTACATGAGGTATTGGATGCTTAGAACATAGCGGTAGCTCCTCCCTTGCCTTTGCCCCTATTCCTCCTGACTTAGCTTGCTAGTCTCAGGTATGGTGGAGGGTGTGGAAGTGCCATGCCTACTGGATTCTAACTTAGCTCTCTCAGGTATGGTGGAGGGTGTTGTGTGGAAGTGCCATGCCTACTGGATTCTACCTACAGAATTGGGGTGAGTGGGATGGGGTTGCCATCTTGTCCTCTGTTTCAGGCAGCAAATTGTCTTGGGCCTTGGAATGTATGTGCCTCCTTTCTGTTATACACATGTACCTTATAGCTAAGAAGAGTAATTCAGAGGCATTTGCTCTCAGGTATGGTGGAGGGTGTTGTGTGGAAGTGCCATGCCTACTGGATTCTACCTACAGAATTGGGGTGAGTGGGATGGGGTTGCCATCTTGTCCTCTGTTTCAGGCAGCAAATTGTCTTGGGCCTTGGAATGTATGTGCCTCCTTTCTGTTATACACATGTACCTTATAGCTAAGAAGAGTAATTCAGAGGCATTTGTTTCCTCAAGTGTTTTTGGGAGATGCTGTGACTCTGTGCTTAACTCAGATCTGGATTACATATACAGTGGTGCCTTGCTTAACGATGATAACCGTTCCAGGAAAATCGCTGTTAAGCGAAAACGTTGTAAAGCGAAATTTTAAAAACCATTGAAACACATTGAAAACTGTTCAATGCGTTCCAATGGGGTAAAAACTCACCGTCCAGTGAAGATCCTCCATACGGTGGCCATTTTTGGTGCCTGTATAGTGGGGAGCCATTTTAAGCACCCGGTGGCCATTTTGAAAACCCAACGATCAGCTGTTTTTTATCGTCGTAAAGCAAAAATCAGTTCCCGAAGCAGGGAACCGATCATCGCTAAGCGAAATTCTCCCATTTAGACCATCATAAAAACATCGTCGGAAAGCGGATTTGTCGTAATGCAGGGTAATCGTTAAGCAGGGCACGACTTTATATATAGAACTAAAAATGGGTGCAGGGAAAGATACAAAGTGGTCAGTCATGAACGACTGTGTCATTATATTAGTCAAGGAGCAGGTCTTCCAAGGTTTCCACTCCATTGTCAACCTTCTCAAGCCATCTGGGCACAACGCTGTGTTGCTGATCAGTGTCTGTTCCAGCAAGCAACTAACCAACTGATGAATCCACACAATTAACTCCAAATTATGCCCTGATAGCTTCATGCCAAATGGAAACAGGCTTGTAGCTGTGAGGGAGGCATGGATGATTTCCTCGCATTATTCCTCCAGTCCTCTGAAATGCTGCAAAGCCCCTGCCTCCCTTCCCCAAGAATGAAATCAGGATCAAGCACAGACGTCCAGAGAGTTCTTTGTTGAAGAATGTTAAGAAGGAAGCCTAAAGATGGATGCAGGGTGAAAACTAGATCTCTCTTTCTCTTTTGCCCACCTCTCTGCCCCTTCATTCTCTCTGTCTCTGTGGTCTGGGTTAAATAGATTCTCCTGTTTGTGTACCTTTTTGGGAGGGCAGTGAGAGCGCAGGCTGATTAAGACAGTGCTATCTGCTGATCACCGATTCACTGGTACTGAGTCCTCCCCAACCTTCCAGCCTATAGCTGTAGTTTCTGAGGATTGTCTTACCTTGTCCTCACTCACTCACACAAGCAATCAGCCACCTCTAGCTTAGGTTGCCAGGCTCAAAGCCACTAATCTTGAGCTCCACAAACCCAATCCTCCCACCTGCTGCAGCAAAGCTCAGGTTTTGCTAAACCATCAAAAGGGACAATGGCCAAGGGTCAAATGAGACATTACGGACAATCCGAAAGGGGAATTGAACGCCTGCTATTGTTGGAGAACTGTGACCGAGGCACTATTTTCATGTCTTAAGTGAACAGGTTTCCAAGGAACCCCATGTGCAGATTCTAAAGACCAGCCGTCAAATAAAGCAAGCTTTTTTGCAAACTCTGGGAGGTGTGAGAATCATCACACATAATTATCCCCTAAGGATTTTTTTTCCTCATCTGATGGGGAGCTGTACATCTGCTTTGGGCCCAAGGACAGTACTTACCACGCCCCCACAAGGCATTGCATTGGCGGTCCCTGGTTTTGCAGCGGCCTCCATAACACCGGCCCTGCAAAGGAGAAAGTAGGACCTGTTTGAAGTCCATATAAAATGCTAATGGTTGCACACATCTGAGAACAGCTAGAAGGGGCCTGGAAGTGTTGATTTGGCTCCCATGGCAATACAAGAGTTGCATTTACTATTTGGCTGAATATTCTGTAGAACACAGAAGCTGGGCTCAACTAGGGTCTTAAGTTCAGTTTGATTAAACTAGCATGTTTGGAGAAAAGAGATCTCATCAGTGTCGTAAACTGTTGGGCAGGTGACAGAAAGGATGTATTCTCCAGCCCCAGAAATGTTAATATATTGAGAGAAGAAAAACTTAACCAGAGTAGTTCCCCCCCCACACACATAATACTCCTCCTGTGACGGGAGAAACCGTATCTGGATAATTTTTCACCTATCCAGCTCCTAAGGGCACAAGATTTCTGTCTAGGTATAGACTTGATAGCCCTAACTATATTTATGCCCTTCCCCTCACTGCTTGCTTTCCATGATGCTGGAATGTACCTGAAACTGTGCAGGCTGTAAATGCTAAAGACACATCGGGAAATATATAAATATTTGCTTGTCTCATTCTTGAATGCAAGAACAAAAAAATGCCTCTTCACCTGTGAGATTTTTTCTATCAGTCTCAGCAAGAGTTTGCAAATTTGCAAGAAAAGATTTTTTTTTTGCCCAAATTGTATAAATGTCATATTTTGTGCAAATCATATAGCTACGTCATATAAGACACCTGCCTTCTGTTGCATGGACTTATAAAAACTAGAAACCTCAGATAGTTGTTTTTATTATTCTGATCAGTCACCCAATCCTTTTTTTTAGGGGGGGGAGTTGTTAGAATGTGTGTGTATGAAGGAAAAGACACTATTTTTGTGCAAACATATTTTGTGAAAATGATGGAAACGTCAATGAAAACAAGAGCTCTCTTCTTATTTCCACACTGATAGGGAGAAATCTTGTGAGGTTCTGATGAACTCTTGAGAGGCTGTCTCAGCGTGCAGAGAAGAAGTGATTCTTTGAGAATCCTTCATATCCCTCCATACCAGTGCACTCATGCCCAATGTAGGTTGCAGTGCCAAGGATACCAGCTATGTTATGAGTATGAAGCTGAGATGTCAACCTTACCTGCTCATTATCACAAAAGTAGCCATCCTGCTTGTGCAAATTGGGTGGACACTAAGGAGGGAAAAGAGAGAGAGAGAGAGAGAGAGGACATGGAGAGAGAATGTTGGGATGGACGGGACAAGATTATCACAGTTTTGTTGAAGAATAATGAATTAACCATAGCCATCCTCCCACTTATCTCATGTTAAGGGACAGCATATCCAGACTGCATGAAGAAACTTCCACAATAGGGGGGTGGGTGAAATTTTCCTTTTCTTTTTTATAAAGATGATTTGACAGAAATTTGAGATTAAAACACATTTAATATAAGAGAAACTAAAACTGACACATTAACCCATCCAGACTGAACTCTTTGAGGAACTAATGCTTAAAAGTCACGTTTAAAAATGACCAAGTTTATGAATCATGAATTATGCAAAATTCACTGTTGCTATTCTGTTTTTTTTAAAAACATGGTCCTCTCCCGGCTGAAAATAATTACAAATGCACAGATTTGTGGTTTTCAATTACCGCTCCCAGAATTCCAGAAACACAGTTCAGTGGACTTCTTAAAATAACTATATCTGCTGACTAGTGAAGATGGCAAAGAGTTTCACTTGGTTTGTTTTTTAAAAGAACTTGTGAATACTAGCAATTTTCGTCTTAAATGGGATGGGAAGAATTTGAGATTGTAAGAATATGGATGTAGAAGAAAACTGTACTCATAGATTTTAATTCATCCCTATTCCAGGCAAATTTGGGTCCAGCCAGTTTTCATAACAGAGATTAAAGCCTTCAAAAACCATCTTCGGAGATGGGAAGGGTATTCCATCTACAGTGGTGCCTCGCTTAACAATTGCTTCGCTTAGAGGAAATCGCTTAACGATTAGGTTTTTGCGATCGCAAAAGCGATCCCAAACTATGGTCTAAATGGGAAAAATCTGCTTCACAATGATCGGTTCCCTGCCTCGGGAACCAATTTTCGCATTACGACAATCTAAAACCAGCTTATCGTCAGGTTTCAAAATGGCCGCTGGGTGTACAAAATGGCTCCCTGCTGTTTTTAGGAGCCATCTGTCGCTATACAGGCACCCGAAAATGGCTGCCCCTATGGAGGATCTTTGCTGGACGGTGAGTTTTCAGCCCATTGGAACGCATTGAATGGGTTTCAGTGCATTTCAATGGGCTTTTTTATTTCGCTTTACAATGTTTTCGCTCTACAGCGATTTCACTGGAACGAATTAACATCGTCAAGCGAGGCACCACTGTACTACATACATAAGAGCCACCACAACATGGATGGTGGCTTGACTAAATCTTAGAATGTTTTCCCTTTTACTCAGATCTCTGTCTCAGAGCTTTTCCACCTCACCTGACTGGAGTCACCAGTGCAAGTCTCTGGGATGTCACACTCATTCACAGCTTCTCGGCAGATGACGCCCCGGGGTTCATACTGCAAGAGGACGGAGGAGATGTGAGATGAGCAAAGGAGTAATTTTGTTTATTGATTCCAAAAGATTTTCATACAGTGATTTATTTTTAAAGAATCCCAGAGCAGCTGAGGGAAAAAATGCAGTAAAACCAGCTTTCAGAAAGGCAGCCATGTTAGAAAAATGCAAAAAGGAGAATGAAACCACCTCCTGCTCCTTCTACCCTGTCTGTGCTGGGTTGGAGGTGGACAGCAACCAAGTTTCAACAGCCTATCCAAACTTTCCTGCATCGCCAATTTCAGTGAAGAAACACTAAGATCAGCTCTTCCTCAACCTGTCCTCAATACACAGGACAGCAGGGCTTGTTGCCATCTATATTCCTAGCTTGCCTGCCTCCTTCTTTTTGACAGAAACAGTGGTCACTGACTGCTCTTTAGGACTCAACAGAAGGGTTGGCAGTTTCAGACAGAAGACCACGGCTTACCTCTCACCTCAAACTCTCAAAAATAACTAAACTAAACTATCTGGAACTGGGTTTGTTTCATATCCTGCCACACATCTAGGCTCATTCTTCCAACAGTTCAGTAACCTGCCTCAATTGCAGACAGAAAAAATATCATATAAGCCTCTGCCAATCGTCCAGGAACATCTGACAGTGCAAAGCTGCAGAAGCTAAGCCATGGCATACTCATTTAGTTCCTCTGGGAGAGCGTGTTGTTGGAACGCCAATGTGCACATACTGTAGATAAAGCACCAGGCTTTAATTGCCTGCAACTAATTTGGCAGAAGAATTCTTCCCACCTGATAAAAAGTCCTGGCCCACTGTGCTTTGGCCTAATTGCAATTTAGTTCCTGTAGGCAGCAGTACGCACTTGCAGCCAATTGGCCTCTGCTGTCTGGCTCTCAAGGAAGATGCTTTGCTAAAAACTGGGACTGAAAGGGGAACTGATGCCAACCTCTGTCTGATCTACCCTGTTTACCTTGCATCCTCGGCAGCACAAGCCATCGCTGCACATAGCATCATGCGTAAGCGTGCATTTCTTGCAGCAGTTTCCTCCACCCTTGGAGCACTCCTTCAGGAACAAGAAAGAAGGAGAACAGACAGATGTCATATTGTTGGGGATTCTCAATCTGAGAAGGGAATAAGTCATGACTTACATCGGGCCCTGTTACATACAGCACTGATGGTACCTGTCTGTCATGGGTTTGGAGGGAAAGTTCCATTCCATGGGGAGTGGAAGGCGGGACATCAGGGGGAGGAGCTGTACTGTATAAATATTTGGAGCTGATGTGAAGAGTGGGGAGTGGGAGTCTGTGTGTCAGACTGAGTACAACTGTGTGTCAGTTAGTACATACCTGATAGGTTCAGGTTTCTTTATAGGTAGCCAGAACTGATAGGTTCACGGTCTGTGCTTTACTTTAAAGGGTTCTGTGGGGACCAAACTGTTATATGTATATGTTTGGGACTTTGCCACATTACAGTATTTTGTTTACCTGATCATTTTATTTACCCTGTTTGTCTTTTCAATAAACCTTGTTCTTTTGTTTGTTAAAAATCCATTCCTGGTCTGTGTGACTCCTTATAGGGAATGGTTGGTGGCAGCTTAACTTTCATAGCTTATCTGGGAGAATTTCCAGAGGTACACAATCTTCAGCCCCCAACACTTCAATGGGAGGAGCAGGTGTACCAGGAAGATATTTCCCTTAAAGGGGCAGAAGCTCAAGGTTCTGAGAGAGGCAAAATTAGCAGTTTCTTGTTTTCATGCATATCTACCTTTATTGAATTTGTCTTCCTATTTCTGCCTGTAAATCCTATTCAGTGAGTGCTGCTTTCTGCATCTCACTTGTTATGGACAGTTCTTCTGCTATTGGCTATCCTATCTTTATTTCAATGGTCCTGGCAGGAGTGCCTGAAGCCGTGGGTGGGCTTACAGTATGGATCCTGATCCTGAAGTGCCCTAGCTTCCCAACCCATACAAGACATCCTTACAGTAGAACCCACCACATGGCCAAAGGCTCACAATTAATGCCCAGTCACTGTCAACCCTGCCTCAACTTGCATGGCTATTTCAGCTCCACTTGCTCCTTACCGCTAAGGACCCACAATCACATTCTTCTCCTGCCTCTACAAATCCATTGCCACATTCAGGAGGATCAAGTAGCTGTGAGGACAGGAGAGAAAGAGTCAATTAGAGTTAGAAGTCTCCAAAATACATTCTGATGTGCAGATATTTGCATGTTTGGTTTTATACTTTTCCATCTCCATTTTTGCTAAGCCAAAAAATGCTTCCCCAGTTCCCTGGGACCCTTTTTTTTCTTACAGAATTCAAGGGAAATGGACATGGCATTTGTTCTTATTGCTTTGCTGCAGCAGTAAGAGCATGTTACCATGGTCTCTCGAGACTGAAGGATGGCTATGATGAAGTGACCTGGTAGGTGAATATGCAGCAATGAAACGCTGGTAGGTGATTATGCAGCAATGGGTGAGATGTTTGTTTCATTTTTGATAACTTTTTTTTTAAAAATTAAAATTATCAAATTCTTCCATACCCAGAATAGTGACCTGGTAGGTGAATATGCAGCAATGGGTGAGATTTGTTTCATTTTTGATAACTTTTTTGTTAAAAAATTATCAAATTCTTCCATACCCAGAATAGGAAGATTTTTTTTAAAAAAAATGCAAATGTGGCAGGAAACAAACCAATAAATTCATCAACCTGGACTCAGGAGCTTTGCATTGTTAACTCATTAAAGTCTGGGTTTGAAGCCTTGTGTATCCAAACTACATTAGTGATAGGTGAAGGTTACTATCATTTTTTTGTGTGTGAGAGAAGCTCCTCATCTTTGATTCTTCTCTGGCAGGCAGGCAGAAAATGGTCCTGTCTGTGCTTGCTAGAAATCACTCTACCAATTGAATTTGCCAGATGCCAGAGAGGAAAGGAGATTTTTTTTTCAGATTATGTTTGAAGAATATATCAACATTTGAAGACAACATATTTGTGATAAAAGCAAACCAAAGTTTTAAAAAATCTGAATGCAAAAGAAATCAAAACTGACAAATTTTCATGCCTATATTCCTGGACAGCATCCTACCTATATTCCTGGACAGCGTCCACATGATGTGGAACAGATTAGAATCACCACTTGTCCAATTTGGGATCACAGTTTAACTGGAAAACCAAACAAATAAACCACTGCAAAGCAGCAGCTAGAGATGGCCTGGAGTGCCTCTCTTATGTTGCCTCAAGAAGGTATGACGTGACACCCACACAGCTGCTTTGTAGATTTCCACTGGAGCACATTCCCAAAAGGCTGCTGTTCTTCTCTGGGAACATACTGCAATACATGCTGGGTGTCGTCAACTGAGCAGAAGCACAATCCTTTCTTTGTCTGCCTGGGATGGAGAGAATCTGCTTTTTGTTTGTTTGTTTTTTTGCAGCTGGGCCACAGAGGTTGGGTTCTCTGTGTGAGATCCTGCTTCCTACAGCTGAAACAGGACCAGGATGGGTATCGGGGTGAACAAGTCCTTCTCTTAAAAATAAATGAAGGTGAAGTTGATTCCTAGCTGCCAGCTTCTTGTTCATCTGAAAACTGGGTAAACAGCCTGATTAAGTTCATATGTTCCTGAATGCCAGAATAAACGATACTGTCATGACCAGGAGACTGTGGCCTTTATGCACTCTTTATGATTTGCTGTTTTTATCTCTGGCCAAAAGCATTGCTTTTATGCAACACACTTTTAACATATGCTTTCAGACCACAAAGATGATGAATCACGATCTGTAGATTTTATATCCCCAAATAAGCATAAACATTAGGCCACCCAAACAGTACTGTATCTGCCCATTGCTTCATTTTCATTCATTCAAGATGCAGTATATGTCAACTATGCCCTTAGGCCAATAATTGCTGATACACTAGCTGGAAAAGTTAGTTTCTTAGAGCTCCAAAAATCCTCAAACTAGATGTTGTGACTCAAAATACCGTGATTCAAAAAAATAATGCTTCAAAGCTTTGAGAGAAAACAGAATCGGTAAAAACCTGTGATGTGTTTATCTAGCAACACTCTGACCCACCACTGGTCATATATATACTGACAACACAAGAATAATGCTGTTGCTGAGATAGATGTCCTTCCTCCATATTCAGCTTAATGTATGGGCTTTTATTGGGGGGGGGTTGGATTTTTTTGGGGCGGATGTTTTGTTTATAGAGTTTGGCCCACAAAAGAATGTGGGCCAGCTCTATGCAACAATGTACTGTATTTGCTGGTACATAAGACTCTTTTTTTGCCCTGAAAAACATGCCTCCAAGTGGGGGGGTCATCTTATTCGCCGGGTGCACCTTAGTTGGAATAGACATAGCTGCCCATAGTAGCCTCCCGATGCCTGCCCACCTCATTCTACATACTATCCAGTATTGCGCGGTATCCAGCGCGGCCGTGGCGAGCATCAGCAGTGAGACAGGGGTGCCAGCCTTTTCGACGTGACCGGCCCGTTATGCTTGCCGGGAAGCAATGGCGCTCTGGCCCGCCCCTTGTCTACGCAGAGCTCACACATGCGCACTTGCGCACTAGTGCCGGTCACAGGGAGATGCAGGGGTGGGCCGGAGGCGCTGCGGTCGCGCTGCGGCCGTACAGTGGTGACAATGAATAGCACCTTTTATTGGGTGTGTGGAAGGTGTGCGGAAGAGGGGGTAGTCTTATACGGCGAGTATATAACAAACTCTATATTTTGAGTGGAAATGTTGGGGGGTCGTCTTATACGCCCAGTCGTCTTATACGCTGGCAAATACGGTATAAATAATATACAAATGAAAAAGGAACTGGGGGAGGTGTGCATCCCAGAATAAACTTTGGGCTACTATAAAGCATACACTGGCATAAGAGGGAAAGAGTCAGCCTTGGAGATACTCTAGCATTGTCTCTCAAATGATGCCTTGTCAATTTCAAGCATGTCCACTTGCTAATCTTTACCAGTATACAGGCCAGTGAGAGTAACTCATGTACTCCCAAAATAAAAATTAGAACATCCCCAAACATACATGCATACCACCAGGATGTGAAAAGCCTAACTATCATACCAGCCCAACATTGTGCTTCAATGCATAATGTTCCAGTACATAATAGTTAATACGGGAGACATCAACTTTGTGAACCTTTCCTTGGCAGGTTTGCTTTTAGGTGATTCTTGCTTATTCATATAGATGGCAAATGTAGCTTACCTTCAAAGGCTTGTTAAAGAGACAGCTCCCTCCACCTTCAGCAAGGAACTGATTATATTCATCAATGCTGCAACGTGAGAACTTCCGTGGCAGGTAGTACCTGCAGTCAGGGGGAAAGAGTCTCAGGAGAAGACTTGAAAGAGTTTCAGAAGCCTTGCATTGGATGCACACCCCATCGTAAATAGCATAATACCTGTACATTTTGAAATGTTATCAACTAGGGTCAGAGCCCAGATTTACATTATGGATTGTGCTAAAGGCCCATTATTATTTTCTTTCTCCCTTTCTTTCTTTTAAGAAAAGGAGAACAGAGTGGAGAAGAATGGCTGGGGAAGAGAATTACAATGGAGAGACGATGACCAGAAACATTAGAGGTCAGATGACCTTCCACACTTTTAACAGAAAAGTGACCTGCCTATATCCCCAAAGGATATTGCCTCGACCAGCATCCCCCATCCCCTGATGCACTGAACTGCTACTCCCAGGATCTCCCAGTCAGACATGGAGGGCACCAGGTTAGGGGGAGGCTGCACGACTTCAGCAATCCTGTCCTTTTGAGAGTCCCACCTCTTTCCCACACTCACCCAGTATCCTCCATAATACAGCCCAGCCATGAGTCAGGACAGCGACAATCCCCTGCAGAGAAAAAGGGCAATAAAGAGAAGATGGGAGAAGTCTTATTATGGCAGTGGGAGGTGGGTTCTGGGTCTCCTATGCCCCTGCTTACCTTTTGTACCTAAAAATGCCTTAGTCACTCACTCAAATTGAATCCCTGAGCCAGAGAACTCCAGAGCTGCTATCTGTTCCAGGTATCACCTGTTCTAGTTCCCATTCTAGAGCCCAAGTGGCATATGGAGGTAAGCCTTTTGAAACAAGGAGGAAATGTCCCTTTAAAGGGCCCTTTGCAGTTTACAAGGAGAATTCAAAAATAAACCAGAAACACCACCTTCTAAAACAAGTGTCTCCTCTTTTGCTTCTGAAATTCAGCACTACAATCTGATGCCAAATTTGAGTGGCTGTGCAGCAGTGTGTGGAGGGATCCAACCCAATTCCCTGCTCCCCCTATATCCTTCAGAGATTATGCTCTCTGCTTCTTGTTAGGATCTCAACCTAGATCCTTTTTGTTAGGATCTCAGCCTTGTACAGCAACCAGAACTTTGTCCAGAGGAAAGGAAAATGTGAAGAAAAAATGAGCAAGCTCAGGAACACCAGCACAGAAAGCAACACACATACTTGAATCCAGATCCTGGCTCCAACACAGTGCTTCTGTCTGCCAGCCCTTGAATCACAACCCTCTCCCAGCTATAAATAGGGTCCAAAGGGAGACCACATTCCCCGACGCCTGCTCAGCAGCATAGTCAATGTACGGTATCTCAAAGGCGACATTGTATTATGTTCTAGGGCCAGAAGTCTTGACCCTCTAAGACTCTCTATACTCAGAAAGTGGGTGGAGCAGAGGAAGGGGAGTCTCTGGCTCAACTGGAATTAAAAATCCTTTCAACTGTATGTAGACCTTGTTGGATCAAGTTGTTGTCTGGCTAGGGATGGGGAAATTTACTTAATTGGCCTGAAAGCCTCAGAATGCCCCAGCCAGTACTGCCAGGGGCCATGATCCTTGAGGTATGCTGGGGATTTTAAGTCCAAAAAAGTAACTTTTCCCACTTCAGAGCCTCACTCAGCTAGCCCCAGAATCCACTGTGCCCTGGGACATGTCCTGTCCTCCTGGTATCAGAAGGGCAGGACATCTCCATGTGGCCCCAACAGCTCCCCACGCCCACCCCGCAGACTTACCGGCAGATGCACGATGCTTGTTCCACATCATACCAATGTTTTGACCCAGGGTCTGTGCTAATGTTACTGCCATCGCTCCCACGTTGCCATACTTTGGGAAGGAGGAGGAGGACATCATGTTATTGGGGAGGGGGGAGGGAGTGAAGAGGCATAGTCTAGCATGCTACATTCTCACAGGCAGGACTCATCTTGTCATCTGCTGCTGCAGCCGGCTTATTACTGGCGGTGTCATTATCTGTTTCAAACTTGGAAACTGCTGGGCACAGACCCACAAGCCAGGAAAGGTGAGAACACCCTGACTGTAATTATTATTTATACGGTTCCATCAGCACACATGGTACTTTTATGGATGAACAGAAGCAAACAAAATTAGTCTCTGCCCCAAGGATCTTACAATATAAATTTAAATGGGAGCAAGAAAGAGGAAAGAAAAAGAGCAAAAGATAACAAGGGATGGATGTGAATCAATGCAAACAAAAAACCTGGGGCATTATTTCACAGCGGGAATGAGGACTTCACAGAAAGGAAGAAAAACGGGTAGCATCACATAGTTACTCAAAGATAACATCCAGGAACTTGGGTTGGCAAAAAAAGAATGGGCAGGGATGCCTTACAGAACAGGAGGTCTTTGGGGAGCCAAGGGTGGTAGAGTTAGGGAACCATGCAGTTTCAGTTTTCAGTTCCCCAAACTTTAAGTCCCACCAGGAACTTCAGGCCTAGTTACACCAATGCCCTACTCACCTCATTAACACCACCTCCTCGGCTGACTGAGCAGATTCCTCCAATATAAGCTGTACCACTGCGGCTGCTTCTGAATGTGTGCCCCCTGGAGAAAGAGATACAACATGAGGGAGGGAAAAGGTAGAAGCCCTTGACTATGGTTTTGGAATATTCCTCTTTTGAACTACAGTTCCCAGAATTCCCCAGGCATCGGGGCTGATAGAGATTCTGGGAGTTGTAGGCCCAAAGAATGAATGTTCCCAAGATTTGCCATGGACCAGCTAGGAATACAGTGCTCTGTGTGCTTTCTTCATTCAGTTCTTATAGTCTGCAATAAAAAGAAATGAGAAGCAGGACAGAGTATAGGAGCACAGATTTAGTAGCTCCCACCCTGGCACATTTAGTAACCAGGATCTTAATCTGCACCCCAGTATATGCTTAATATGCAGGTGTATTTGAAAAAGAGAGGAGGTTTATTGACTGGGTTTAGGTTTTTTCAAATGACTGCAATAAAAACTGATCATTGTTTGGTTAATCTGTCGGCAAGTCTTCATTCTCATTGGTTTGCAGCTGCTATCTTTACATCATACTTCTCAGGGAAATACTGTATCAGTTTGGTTGTCATAATTTGATTTAGCAGATCTTATCAAAAAATCTTGCAATGCTTATCTTGTACTAAACACAAAAATAAGCACTGCCTTCTGGAATGAATAGAAAAACAAAAAAAGGAACAGATTTGTCACCGAAGTATTTGAAAAGAGTGCACTGTATGGATGGTAGGAGAGGGAAAAAACAATATAATCAGTAACAAATCAGGAACATTACAGACAATGGATGCTCCATTTTGAAGAATCGCAAGTGTTTTGCTTGACTTCCAAAAAAGTAGTTCTATTTTTCTCTAATTGTTCAGTAACAAAATTTGAGACATTGCTGAAAATAAATATATTCCTCAGCATCTCTTTGTGGATAAAAGCAGTCACAATACCAGATGTGGTACGTTACTCAAGAAGGCCATTTGCCACAGACTCAGGAGGTTTACTGGCATGGTTACCAACAGAGCACTCTGGCTGGGGCTTGTGCATTTGTGGCTACCTAAAGTGCATTGCTAAATGTGTGAAGCCTGAGTGTTTAAGGTTAGAAGTTAGCAACTCTGCTCCTAGTGTAAATGTGCTCACACTCTCCTTCAAAACTCACGAGAAGAGATGTACAGCATCGCTTTGCTCAGGAAGAGCATCTTGCCGGTACTTCATGAACTCGCCGAGAGTCTCCAGGGAATCCTCATCTACTTGGATCTTGTCCCCTGATGCCCATGTCTCCATGGCGACCAACACAATACGTGTGTTCAACTGCTCCTTATAAATCTGACACGAGAGCAAAGGATGATGTTTGTTTTCAAGTTAAAAATAATACTACCGAACTACAGAAGACTGGACAAAATAGCTGTACTGTAGAATGAAATACCTGTAAAACTCTCACAGTCTAGAAACAGGTTACAGTACTTAGTTCATACCTAGTTGGAAGGAGCCCATGGAACAGCACGTTCCCTGAAATCTCCTCCCAGTAGATGGAGCAGTTCTCACCTTTGGGTGAGGGGCAATGTCAATGCATGTCAATTTTGGAAAGAAGGCTGCATTATCTCCCACACTCACCACATCAGCAAGGTTCACGACTGACTTTGCAAAGTTGCTGGTAAGGACGATGGAGCGGCGCAGCTGCTCAAACTGGAAAAGAAGAGACACAGAAATATGGTTTTTTGCAGGTACACTCATCTGACTTATCTACCAGATTCCAGAGTTGCCTGAAGGTGTGTGCTTTTCCTCCTCGCTCTTGCCCACTTTTGACAGTAATCCAGGTGGAAGAGGTAAAAGATATCCTCCCCATGCACATTTGGGATCGTGCCCCCCCCCCAAATGCTGAGGGAGAAAAGTAGACAATTGCACCCCCTCAAACCACTGAGGAGGGCAACAGGTCCAAATTATCCCCTTTTTCAAAATTGGAAGTTACCTTCTGATCACTTCTAGTGTGCGGTGGTTAGGGGTCCAGTGGATGGAAGAAGAGATGGAGGCAGCCCCCAGCCCCTCCACAATACTGACCTCTGGTCTATACTGTTCAGACAGAAATTCTTCCCAGATCTGACTTGAGAAAGGAGGTTTTTGAAACCGGAACTTTATGCCTGCAAACTGTGGCCTTCCTTAAAACATGTTTTATAGCTGAGCAGGTATTCAAGTGAGGTTTTCCATTATTTCCATCTCAAATTATTAGATTCTCCATTGACACTCCTGCTTTAGCTCCAGCTCTTGATTCCTTTTCTACACAATAGTACCATTACAGATGAATAGCCTCTTAATAGGCCTTAATTAGTCAGGTTCTCTCCACCATTTTTATTCTCATTACTTTCTCATTTCATTTTTGTTGACCAAAGTGCTTTTCAGCCATTAAAAAAGAAAAGAAAAGAGAACAAGAAAAGGAACCTGGTAACCAACAATCCCCTCATTTGAAGAGCAAATTATTTTAAGGGCAATGAAAGGATTATTCATCAACAATGCTACTGCTGCACTTAACAAGAAGCAAGTATAGAAACTGCAAGTGAGAAGCTACTAATTCAAGGCACAGTGTTCCCTACTCTCCATGTCCTCGCAGCCCTGTATCTGATTTTATTGTTTAAATTGCCATAGGATGCAGAATGTTGACAATGATGCCATCTGGATCCTCCACAAAAACCAAGTAAATAAAGGATGACAATTCCAGGTTGAATTACAAGAAAGCAATATTAGAGTGCCTAAACATCTTCTGGAACCCATAACTTATTTACTCTTGTGAACTGACAAACCTGCAGGCATTCTAAGAGTTTTTCTGAGAATCAAAATATTTCAGCTCAGTCAAATATCTGTAATTAGAACAAAAATGGATTGCAAATTCCCCAAAAATGTGATCAGTAATGTAACCTTGGATATTTTAAGACTTCAATTTATTCTGCCTATATTCCTAACTGCTTACTGACATATTCTCCCTCCCTCATTTTTCGTGCTTTGCATGTAAGAATGTGAGGAATATTTGTAAAATTTCTTGTTCTTGATGAGAAATGGTCAACTGGTGTGAGGTTTTCCATTCTTGTACACCGGCAAAAAGATCAGCATTTCAACTAGTGTATCATTTGACTTGCCTCATTTATGTGTTTTTAATACAGTGGAGTTTCTACTTAAGAACGTCTCTACTTAAGAACAATCCAACTTAAGAACAGCTCCATTTGCTAAATTTTGCTTCTACTTGAGAACAGAAATTCAAGATAAGAACAGGAAAAAAAACCTTTCCTGCTCTTTTTTTAACCTTAGGTCATCTTAGGTTAAAAAAAATTCTCCCCCTAGTGGTAGAGTACATATTAACCAGCTTTGCATTAGTTCCTATGGGAACTAATGCTTCAATGTACGAACGCACCTCTACATAACAAAAAAACACCCAAAAATGTGATCAGTAATGTAACCTTGGATATTTTAAGACTTCAATTTATTCTGCCTATATTCCTAACTGCTTACTGACATATTCTCCCTCCCTCATTTTTCGTGCTTTGCATGTAAGAATGTGAGGAATATTTGTAAAATTTCTTGTTCTTGATGAGAAATGGTCAACTGGTGTGAGATTTTCCATTCTTGTACACTGGCAAAAATATCAGCATTTCAACTAGTGTATCATTTGACTTGCCCACATTTATGTATTTTTGATATATGTGGCAAAGGCAAGGCTCCCATGTCAGTGCAAAAACAGCTGCAGCTTGTTCTCTTTAATTGGAGTTGATATCTTGCTTAGAGCTCCCATTTAATCCAGTTTACTGAACATTTCCAGATTTGTTTTAATTCATTCTTAAGACCACAAATGGAGCTCTGATTTGAACGAGCCCAGTGGTCCACCCTTCTAGCCCTGAAGGCCACATCTGGCATTAAGGAGGAGGCTCCACACAAACGCACATACACGCATCACAGCACCCTGGGCTACAAGGGAAAGTGTGTGTGTGGGGAGGGTTTTGTCAGCTTCAGGGGCTGCACAGGGAGCAACAGAGGGCCACAAATTGTGCACTCTTGGCCTGGCCACATGGATTTGTAAGAGTCTTTATTAGTCTGCAAAATTCCTGAGCTCTACAGTGCTCTGGACTGACCCATCAAATTCACCAGATGGACAGTCACCTTGCTGGAGCTGTTGATAGCACTGTAGAGGGGACTTCTGTGGAAGATGACCATTTTTTTAAAAAATGGGGAACTAGATTTTACAAAAATCCCCCTGCAAGGAAAAGCACATTGAATCCTGCCAGACTGCTCAAAGAAAGAGACCTGACAGGTATATTACTGGCAGCTCATTTGATAGGTTTCTTGCAGACTATTCTATGCAACTGTGGTTGTATGAATTTCTCCAGGGCAGGGCAGGGTGCATAATAGACCGACAGTGTAATTTACGCACACAGCACATACTGCTACAGCATAGTGTGTCTGTTTGTGTACATTAAAATAATAAATACATTTAGGATTCTGCCTGTCCCCTGGACACTCACGATTCTGAGGGATTTCCAATAACACTACCATCTCTACATGTCTTCCCAGGCCTCAGCCATCCACTGTTGACACTCACCAGCTGGTGGTCGTTAACAACAATAAGTTCAATGAATTTGGTCTCGCTGTGGACAGTCCGGTGACCTCGGTGAACCTGTGGTGGGAAAAGGAAGGCAGGCTCACAAGCATTAATTGAGGCTCTTAGAGTTACCCAACACACACATTGGTGGTACAAACCCCTGAACTTTCCTTCTTCATAACCCCACCCCCCAAAAAATTCTGCACTGTGGAAACCAAAAGTAAGGGATTCACAGAATTTGGATAGCAGGTAGAGCAGGAAGATGGGTCAGTTTAATTGCCATCTACCCCAGTATGGTGAGAGGTACTGTATTTCTATTTAAATCTTGATAATTTTTTTTAAATGTACACATATATACACTATATAGTGACTGTATATTTAAATCACACATTACTAACTTCTACTTTACCAGCAACAAGACAAATACAGGGAAATACTTATTGGCTCCCTCTAGTGGTCAATTCTGATAGGCTCCTTGGAAGTACTTATAAAAATACGTACACAACACCAAAAATATACTTAGGAAGGAGTAAGATATATTCTGAAAAAATCCTATCAAAAAGGCTCTAAATGTGTCTTCAAATACTTCTAAAAAGTAACTTTTGAAAGTAACCCGGTTTCAACTCAGTCCTTAGGTGTTGGTTGTTATACTTCGGCTGCAACTGCGCTGGTCAGCCAAGCTGAAGTGATTCAGCATTGGGAGGCTTGAGTCAAAGCCTATTTTATTTATTATTTATTTATTTTATTTATTTAATTTATATGCCGCCCACACTACCCAGAGGTCTCTGGGTGGCTTACAACAATTAAAATTCAATACAGTAAAAGATAAAATAATTAAAATACAATTAAAATACAATTAAGATTGCCATCGGACCCACAGCTAATATTATTTCAATTAAAAGCCTTCTGGGACAGGAAGGTTTTGACCTGGCGCTGAAATGTCATCAGCGTCAGCGCCAGACGAATCTCAGTCGGGAGGGCATTCCATGCTTATGTTTGGATTGGGTAATCACACTGAGATCTCAGATTGTTTTGATGCCAGTGTCCACACTGCCCCCTCAATCCAATGTGGTTCAATCTGTACCACTGCCCACAGTCCCCCCCGCCCCTTTTGAGCCGTTTACAGTTCATTATAAAGCCAGTGGGCTATTGAAAGTGTTGCACAGCATTAGGGGAAAGGGACAGTTTTCCAAAGTTCTCCATAACATACAAACACATAAACACAGGCTGCAGAAACATAACAGTCTGCTTCAATTCATCAGAGTAGTTTCTATTTCATATTAATTTTTATCTTTTTCTTTTTGGCTGCACACAGAGGTGTTCTAGCACAAAACTAATATATCAATATATCAAAAAACAAAACAAAACTTGGGAACAAATAGTGAAAGATTGCCCATATGGGTGTTCTCGCCGTCAAGAACATCATGCCCAGTTTCATAAATCACTAGAGTAACATCACTCTCCCCTCCCCATCCTTTTGGGGAATGAAATTGCTGAACATATGGGGGAAACACCATTCAAATCCCTCTGGTTTGAAAAAGGTAGCAGCCCGCCCCCCATCAGCAAGGGGGAAAGCTCCACTTCGCAAGCAAAAAGGACCAGGCTGATTTGCACGTGATCAGTTAAAAAATTGAATGCATCTGTTTTACTTTGGCAGCAAATCTTGAACTATTTACCTGTGTAGTTGCAGCCCTAAAATGTAATGTAGTTATTGGTACCATTTGACTTAGCATTTGCTACTCTGACTGCTGCAGACAAGGATCTTTCCAAGGATACCTGGAAATTCCAGGAATAGAAGCTGGTATCTTTTGTACACAGAGGTGTTTTACCACTGAACCCTCTCACTAGGCTCTCAGACTCCCTGTCCATCATCAGCCTGCTCAGTTCTCATGGAGTTAGCTGGTTGAGAGTAAACATACCTGCCTTCGACGCCGCAGTTTGGGGAGCCCAGAAGGAATGTAGTTGTTCAGTGCAGCAAATAAGCACCCTAAATAGGGGGTAGGAAGGGACACATGTCAAATAAGGGGGAGAGGGGAGACGACTGGCAAAAAAAGGGAAGCAGGTAATTCAGGTGCCTAGGAATGCATTTGTACTATTAAGACTAGTGCGCCATCTACATTCATTCCTTGAGGGTTCGGGTCTGGCTAGTGAGATACATGCCCTAATTACTTCCCAACAGGATTACTGTAATGCGCTCTATATGGGGCTACTGATGGAAAGTGTCAGGAAACTTCAACGGGTCCAAAATGCAGCAGCCAGATTGCTGATTTGGGTTGATTATAGAGATCACAGAACCCCCACTCCCCGTTACAGCAGCTCCATTGGCTGCCAATCAGTTGCTGGGCACAATCTAAAGTGCTAGTTTTAACCTATGAAGCCCTAAATCGCCTGGGTCTAAACTATCTCAAAGACCGTATTTTCCATTATGAGCCGGCTTGGGTGTTAAGATCATCAGGAGAGGCCTTTCTCTCAGTCCCACCACCTTCACAGGTATGTCTGATTGGGACACAGGAGAGGGCCTTCTCTGTTGCTGCTCCCAGACTTTGGAACTCCCTCCCACAGGGTGCCAGACTGGCCCCATCTTTGCTATCGATTTCCAAACAAGCAAAGACCTTTCTCTTCAGGCAAACTTTTCCTCAATAATCTAGCTACCTGTGTGTGATTTTTAGATAGATTGTTATACACAATTGCTTTGAATGGATTTTTAGTACTACTTTTGTTTTCCATTTTTGTGTTTTCCATCTCTCAGAGTAACATTTTTTTGTATAATTATTGATCTTTGGCTTAATATTGCCAGTTAATGTTGTAAGATGCCTCCTTATTCATTTTTGCAGTTTTAAATATTGCCTTTTAATTATCTTAACCAACATTGTATACGCATTGCTTTCAACTTTAAATATTGTTTTTCATTGTTTGTAAGCCACCTTGGGTCCTTTTCAAGGAGAAAGGCGGAGTAAAAATATTTTAAATAAATAAATAAATCATATAATTTGAGGGCATAAGACACTTTGAAAGCTATGCCCTATTCTGTATCTAATTTAACTCTGGGCTTCCGTTTTTCCCGGTCAGCAACTTCCTGATATTTTGAGACTACAAACTGAGATGATTTGGACACGTCCTTGCGATGCCATCAGGCCCTAATGATCTCACAAGGTTAATTCTTGTGAGATGGGATGGGAAGGGTTCATAAAGAAAGAAACGTAAGAACTTAAAAACAACTTTGTTCAGAGCCTGTGAGTTTTGCTGCTACCTGGGAATGGGTGGAGAATTATATCCCTATTATATTAAGCTACCACACATACAAAAATAAATTTTCTCTTCACCCAGTACTGCTCATCCTGAGCCTCCCTCATTCTCTGGGAGTGATAGCACAAAGAATAACCACAAATGAAGCAACCAACAGTTGACTACCCTTTCATTGTGTCTAAAATCTGCAGCTTGAGGCAGCTGCCCCCTCCTGCCAAATAGAAGAGTCAACCCTACTCATTCCTGTCAAGAATTACAGTGGTGCCCCGCAAGACAATTGCCTCGCGGAACGATTAATCCGTAAGACGAAGGGTTTTTGCGATCGCTGTTGAGCTTCGCAAAATGGTTTTTCCTATGGGCGAAGGGTTTTGCGATCACTGTTGCACTTCACAAAATTTTTTCTTATGGGCGATTTTCACTAGACGATGTTTGGGTCTGTGCTTCACAATACTTTTTTGTTTTTTTAGACCGATGCTTCGCAAGACTGTTCCCCCCCCCATTGGAATGCATTAAATAGAATTCAATACATTCCAATGAGGAACCGCATTTTGCAAGACTATGTTTTCTATGGACGATTTTTGCAAGACAATGATTTTTCCCCCATTGGAACGCATTAAAGAGATTTCAATGCATTCCAATGGGGAACTGATTTCGCAAGACGATGTTTTCGCAAGACAGTGATTTTCGCGGAATGAATTAACATCGTCTTGTGAGGCACCACTGTATTTACCTGAAAAAGGCCTACATGACCCAACTCAAATGGGCTGAACACAGCTAGGACAAATTATGTTTTGGCACTGCCCAGAATTCCCAACCAGTAATGGCTGTGCTGGCTTGGGGGTTCTGGGTATTGCAATTCAATAAATGATTTTTTCCCCTAACCTCTGCTGGTGAAGCAAGTGTGGAACACTGTTGAGCATGCTAGCAAGAATATAAGATACTTTGTTTTCTGTTTAGTTGTGGCCACTAGAGCGACTAACAGAAGTACGTATAAGGCTGAGAAATGGCTCCATCTTGAAGACAATTAGTTTGTCTGAAGCAAGCAGTAGAAGCTACTTATCAGCACAACAACTAGAACTGTCTCTGATAACTACTCAAAAGCAGGCTGAAAGTCCAGCCCTGGAGCAATTTTTAAACTCCAGATTACAGTCCCAGGGTGCACCTGCACTCCGAAGCACACTCCAGATTGGCCGAGTTACCGCTCGGAGGGAAAGAGCATCTTGGCTGTTGAAGTGCCATCTGGATCACTGCAGCTGCTCCCTGAGAAATAGTATCTTTCCTATGAATTTTAATTAAGGAAGGGGTGACGAGCAAGAGCTTTTGCCCTTGGAAAATGTGAACTCGCATGGAATGGCACCATAATTAAAAATGTTTCACAGTCGCAACCATTTCATGAGGTTTAATGTGCATTTTAATGAAACAACATTTTCATGGTAGAATTCTCTCATGCAGAGTCACAGACTTCCCTGCCACCTCCTAGAACTACAGTTCTGAACCTCAATGGCACTTAGGTCATTTCTGGTTCATAGATGGGTGTTCAAGAGGAGAAGGATGAATTTAAGATCCCACAATTACATCTTAAGAATACCTCCCAGCCACGAGGAAAGTATGGGAATGAAGTTTTAACAGAGGTTGTGCTTTATTCTTGCAGGAAAGTACTTCTCTACAACATGTACTAATAATCAACAAAGAATAAACAATTCCTGTTTGCTGTCGTTTTGGGCTCAGCCACCAGCATAAAGTACTTTGTGACAAAAAACAGACAGTTTATGCTTTTTAGTGATACAGTGGTGCCTTGCTTAACGATTACCTTGTTAAATAACAAATCCGCTTGACGATGAGATTTTTGTGATCGCTTTTGCGATCGCAAGCCGATGTTTCAAAGGGCTTTTTTCGCTTCTCGACGATTGGTTCCCTGCTTCGGGAACCGATTCTTCGCTTTACAATGATCAGAAAGCAGCTGATTTTCGGGTTTTAAAATGGCCGCCCGCTGTTTAAAATGGCTCCCTGGTGTGTTAGGGATGGATTCCTCGCTATACAGGGAGCAGAAAATGGCTGCTCTATGGAGGATCTTCGCTGGACGATTAGGTATTTAGCCCATTGGAATGCATTGAGCGGTTTTCAATGCGTTTCAATGGGGTTTTTTCCCCACTTGACGACGATTTCGCTCTACAGCGATTTCATTGGAACGGATTAACGTCGTCAAGCGAGCACCACTGTATTAGCAAAAACATAAACAAAATGGGGGTTAAAGGAAATGGAACTATTGTACTAGCCTGTTAGAAACCACACATACACAGTTCCAGGTTTAAATCAGCATATAGAAAAGTACAGAAAAACGGATATTTCTATATGTGCTGCCATGCTGTTTCTCTTATTTGTGGTAAATGATAATAACTGATAGCCATGAAATTGATTTTTTTATGATTTGACATTGAAGGCAGACCAGAGCAAAGCCACAGAAACTTGTCAGCTCTCCTGTAACCCCCACCACACCTCCTGATCAGCACTGGAATCTGAAATCCTGCTCAGAAGTGATGAGAAGCATTCTTTACATGTTCTTAGATGCTATGTCCCACACATAGAAGCCACTTCTAGCAAATTAACAACGTGGGTATTATTACTAAGATTATTATTGCTATCTGAACAAATAGAAAAAAAGTAGCAACACCATTAAAATAAAAATTGGTCATGACGGAGTCAAGCTAGATGTATATTAAGGCCAACATTTGGATCCAGTAATTAAAACTTTCACATTCAGAATTGAAATGGGATAAATGTTAAAACTTTTACACTTCCCACAAAAAAATATTTGTATTCTGTCTTAAATATGGGGGTAACTTTAAAGACTATGTAGTACAGTAGGACTCCTATATCTGAAGGATTGGTGTCTGCGGTTTAACCACAACCCCATATACCACATACAAGGGGGCAAGCCTTGTGGTCTTTTTCCTGCCTACTTGCATGTTGTATATAAGGTTCACTAGTATCCGTGGTTTCAGGCATTTGTGTTAGATTGATGTATTAGGAAAAGAAATATTGTTCTGCAAGTGTATTTCATTTTCAGAAACTCCAGCAGATTAGAAAACAGAACTGAAATTCATCTACATGGAGATTTAAAGTTTGAAAGCTCAGAATGTGCCCCAACTTCCAAAGCAGAAAATAAAGAGAGTCCTTTAGCAAGGAGGGAGTCACATTTACCTGATTCTGTGCAGCCCTGGGCAGTATGAGGTGCAGGTGTTCGGTAGATTCTGTGAGCAAGTGGTTTCTGCTGAAGGGAATAAAAAGAGAAGGAACTTGTAAATACCCCAGGCAGCTATCTTTTTAAAAGTGTATGTACTGTAAATACTGTACCTCTTAATTCCCTTCCCTTAAACACATACACATAAATTGCTACTTCAGTTTAATACTGTGTTAAACAAGGTATTAAGGAACGGGAACCAGAAGCACAGACCATGTTTCCCTGCTTCAAGAAAGCACAGCTTCAATTCACTTTGAGAGCAGCTTTTATAAAGTCTTGCCAGGTGCTCATTCAGGACAGAATAAGTCCATACGGAGCATGTGAAGCATGTCTGGGAGCCAGTGTGTACGTGTTATTGCACTCAAAGATCACTGGAAGCCTGAACAAATAGGAATGAATGTACAGTTACACAGAAACATCCTACATGTGGGGATGATCCTCAGTCCTTCACATGGACGTGTGTAGGTTGGAGGGGTGGCTGAATTTGCCATAATGATTTTACTCCCTACAAACATGTTGATTATACTCTAATTTGATGACAGAGAAGCCCTTTATTTTAACTAACTCAAATGGATCGTAGGGCTACAAAAACAGCAGGAAAGCATTTTATTCAGTGTTTTCCTTTTAAGACATGACCCATTAATGCTTTCATTCTCTGTGCATTTCTTTTGTTTTTGCAGCATTGTGTTTCTGTCAAGCCTCTGTCCTCTTCTGTCTCCATTCTATAGAATTGTCACTCCCTCTTTCTCTCTCTGTACCATTGCCCAGTCTGCACTCCCATTTCTCTTTTTCCATTTTGCTACCCTTGAAAAGGAGGGTATTTATTTAAGTTATACCCTCCATCTTATGCTCCCATCTCTCAGCTATATCTCAACTTCTTCATTCCACAGGTTGCCTCCTTCTCCACAGCAACACAAAGCCTTCTTTTACTTCTCACAACCACCACAGGTCTCCCTGCACCCCCAAAGGAAGATAGAGATTGTGTTATACCCTAGAAGAGACTAAGAATTTGGTCCAGTACTGTCTGCTCTGACTGGCAGTGTTTGTGGACATCAGGTACAGAGCGGCCATAGTATATGGACAGCTGGTAACAAAAGACTGGAAAACTTGGCACCAGCTATCTCTGAGTAAAGAGAGAGAAGGAACAACATAGATTATCACACAGTATTATCCTTTCCTTGCTCTCAGACATGATGGGAGAAAGGGCAAACTGCTCTGTTATAAAGTGCCCGTCATTAAAAGATTGAGGTCAGAAGGTCAGACAAATATGTGATAAAGAATCACAAAACAATCAACATTTTCAGAGTGCCCTAGCTAGCAGGTTGGAAATACACAGGCAGGGAGAGGGCACAGTTGAAATCTGACTTATGGTGATCCTTGGCAGGCTTTCCTAGATATAAACTGGTTTACTCTTCCCTTCTTCTAGGGACACCCTAGAAGAAGGAAACATCTTGCCCAAAGTGTTCAAGGCTGGCTCTTTCCATTAGAGGCATAATGGGGAATCAAACTCCCTAACCCATGGCTCAATACCCAGGTACACCAACTTATCAAGTAGAGGAGGGATCTCCAAACTATGGCCTGTGGGCCACATCTGGCCCATTGTATCTTTTTATCCGGCTCAGGGAACGTTACAGGCTCAGGTCCGTTCCCTTCAGCCCATGGGCATGTGGGTGTGCGGGTATGTGTGTGTGTGTTTGTGTGTGTGTATGTGTTTTCCTTCAGCCCTCGGAAATGTGAAAAATGTATGATGTGTCCCTCACACTGAAAAGTTTGGAGACCTCTCAACTAGAGTCACCATAACATGACAACACATAGCAATAACAAAATCTATGTTAAGATCCTCTCATATTCAGCATGACAGTTTGCACAGAGCTTTTGTGACTATTCAGGCAGCAAAGAAGACCCTGCTCATATTCACAGACACTCTCTCCTCTGTTAGATGATTCACACATTACAACACTGAACATACTGATGTTGAAAATCAGTTCTAGACTCTGGCAGTGAGCCCCAGCTCAAATTTGTGTCATTTGTGGTTGGGCTTCCCCCACTTCCCCCCTCTTCAAAACCTTTGCTAAAATATAGTCTGCATTTTATTGTGCTAAATACCACCCACCACCACCACCATCGCACAACTTTTCTCATTTACCCAAACAGGCCTTCAAATGTGATAAACTGAGGCAGGGGGGAATGTGTGCATTTCATACATACAGATTGGAAGGGATGAGGGGTGGGAGTGTAGAGGCTGAGGGCTCTCCAAGGAGGGCACAGAAAATACGCAATTGGAATCTCCTTCCATTTGCTGCCATGGCAACAGGAATGAAAGGAGGCACCCTGGGAAACTCCTTAGCATTGCTCATGCAAGGAGGGGGGCATGCAAGGAAAGAAAACATGCTTCAAGGATGCCTGGCAGCATCCCCAAGCATATGTTACTCTGGTTTCTATTTAACAGCTCATAGTTTAGAAGTAAGAGTCAGTGTGGTGTCATCGATAAAGTGACTGACTAGAATTCAGGAGATCTGGGTTCAAATCACCACTCTTTAAGAAGATCCTGAGGGATCAGAGACTCTGCCCTTGTGGATCTGATGAGATAGAATCCATTGAGCATATGATGTTCAGATGTAACAGGCATAACATGATTCAAGGAAAATATATTACACCTCTCTTAAAAGATATGACAAGCTAATCAGACTCGGACTACTGTAACCAATTGTTAATTGATCAAAATCGGATTATTCCAGAACTGGTAGCGAAATTTTGGGCGGCATGCCATAGTAGCCAGAATAGACAGCCAAACTTAGACATTGGTCTTTCATTGTTATATTTCTAGTTTTATTGCTTTTTGTGTATTTGATTTGGCTTTTTGCAGTATATGTCAGTACTATACTTGAAGCTCTGCTTTTAATTCAGTTTTATGTATATGGCTTGGTGCTGTAACAATAAAAGTATGTAAATCACCACTCTGCCATGGAAATTCTGTGGGGGTATTATGATAATATTATTCTTTAAATATCTCACATATCTTGAAAACCCTATTAACTTTGCCATAATTTTTATGTGACTTTGCCATAATTTTTATGTGACTTTGTTGGCACATAACACACACAGGTCCTCAGATAGCCTGATTTCTTTATGGACTGGTATCACACATTGTATCCCAATATTAGAGATCTTTATCATTCAGGCATCCATTTTCCTCTGGCAAATATTATAATGTTTGCAGTAACAGAATGCTATCAATATGAAGCTTCCTCTGAGGGAAGAGAAAATATATGTTTTGAAATGAACAGATCAACTTAGATACAGGTTAAGTGTCAAACTGAACAATATGTATTTATATCAAAGGAAAGAGAAAGGAGTGCTTTTTAAAAATTTTGAAGCAAACTGGCCATGTGAAGATTTTGTCGCCATGTTTGCTAAACTTAAAACATCTCAGCTTTGCCATGACAAGAAAGCATAATTCAAAAATTTTATTGTACTTGTGTTCAACTCTCAGGGAATAAAACGACACAACAAGAGAAATGTGAATAGATCTGTTGTGAAGTTGAATCTGGAAAGTTGGGTTTCCCTGGGTTACCGTATTTTTCGCTCCATAAGACGCACCTTTCCATAAGACGCACCAATTTTTTAGGAGAAGAAAACAGGAAAATATAATCTGTTTTCTTCGCTCCATAAGACGCACAGACTTTCCACACCCCTGTTTTGTGGGAAAAAAGTGAGTCTTATGGTGCAAAAAATACAGTAATTTGCTTCAGCTCACTACACAGGAGTCAGCAGGGAGAGGGGAGGAAATCAGCCTTGATTGCAGCTTGTTGACAACAGTCTTGTAAAGTAGGAATGGCTGTGAGATAATGATTGCCCCAAAGTCACCCAGTGAGTTTTGTGCTTGAGCAATGATTTGAACTTGGGTCTCTCTTTGTACTCCAAAGCTAACATTCTGTCTCGTACAGAGGGTCTACCTGACACTGACCCTTATGTTGGTTATAAGAGCTCTGTCTTAGAATGAATTCCATGACCCGAGAGGTTTAGAGATATGAGGGTGGGAGAATCAACAAAAGGCAAGCTAATCCATGTACTGTTTACCTTCAGCCTTCCTTTCACCTTTCAGCATGAAATCTAAGCAAGGTATCTCTGTGGCAGTGATAGAATTACAGCCTGGGCCAGGCCTTCCTTACCTCTTGGTGCTCAGGTGAATCATGAGGCTCCAGGAGGTACGTGCCCTTTCCATCGGAGAAAACACCGCTGGGGGCAGGGGGCAGAGAAACACAGAATTAGTCCACCATAGCTTTCAGACGTCTAAGGATCAACCATGAGGAGGTCTGTGACATTAACACACAATAGCAGAGATTGAAGAAAGTAACTTTCCCTAGACTCCCACAGTAGAATTTGGGGAACTCTAGTCCAAAATAGTAAAATTTTCAAATTTCTATTAAGCCAGGGAATGGTTTGTAAGGATTTTATCATGTGCATATTAAATTTGTTAGTACAAAGATATGGAAGGGCAACAACCACCCAGCAATGATGGTGATATGCCAACAGTCACTTGTTCAAGTAGCAACACTCAATTTAGAATTCCTGGTCTTGTTTAATATTTTATTTATACTTTAAAAAAAATTAACTTATTACATCATCCTCAGACGGTAGTCATAAAAATTATAAAAACAGATACAATAAAATAAAAATTGCAACAATTAAATTACAAAAAAATAGTACTGTGCCATGTAATCACAACTACTTACTCAGGTTTGTTGGAAATATTGTTCCCCTACTTGAAGGATTGCCCTCCCACCCACCTTCAGTTTGCTCTACTCACTGCAGGCCGTGACAGCTAGAGAGAGCTGCAAAAGAGTTCGCTTCTCCACGGAGTCGGCCTTGATAGTAACAGTGCTCTCCAGCTCCCTGAAGCAGAGAAGAAACAGGGAATGGAGACCGTAACATTTCCAAATTCTTTAAGGCAGCGACTCTTTCGCAGGTTGAATGTAATACAGATTGGCTGCCTTTTAACAAGGAACAGGAATCAGGAACTAGATGACTCAGGGAAAAACGTACTCCTCGACGGCTGACAAGAGGAATAGGGTAGAGAAGAAGTGGTTGAAGTGCCACCAGGTTATGTTATCAGCCCACTTTGGTGGGCAGAGTGGCATTCTTGCTTACCATGGCCCAGCCCTTCTCAAAGAGATTCTGTCTCAATAGGAATATATGCAGTGGGCTGTTTCCTGAGCAGGGGCTTAAATTAGCCCGGAAAAATAAAACCTTGTCTCACAACCTTAAGTGCACAAGTACGCTCTTCATAAACTTGGTAGGTTGTTGCCAAGAGACTGGTGAAAAAGGGGTTAACAAGTTTAAATTCCTCTGTAAAACCTAGGCCTGTTAACTTATGTCAGAGAAGAATGGAAAGACCGGCCCTTAATTAGGAGACAATTTGCAAATGGGTGCTATCTGGTGGGAAGAAATGTGTTTTAAGGTCATAAGACGCTTCTTCTCCTGAGATGGTACAGGGTATAAACCCAATGAATAAATGAATAAATAAATAAATGCTTCAATTAAGTGAAAAATTGGCTTTGGATGAACTGAAAGGAGAGAAAAACAGCAAAGCGAGTAAAGGTTCTTTGAGAAAAAGTACTCTTCTGGAAGGTTCAGGGTAATTGACTGGTAAAATTCCTCAAAAAGTCTGGAAAGGGGGATGATGGAAATAAAAATAGTATAGAAAATTTAGGTACTTTGGCTTAGCTTCTCAAAGGAGACAGTTATGCTCATTTGCTGTATTGTTGCTTAGTCTGTATTCTGCATATGATCTGGAACTATGCTACATTTTTGCATAGTTATTAGTATTAGTATAGGATAGCTAATTTTATTATTTTCTTTGGGAACTGATCTAGAATTGCCCTAGTCTCAAATCTTTTGTATGTGGATTAGCTGCACAGCTTTTGATTGCTTTGGAACTTTTTAAATTAAGTTTTGAAGCTGTTTTGAACTTTACTTTCTTTTTTGACTTTTAGCAACATCTTCAATAAAACTATAAAAATTTCACAGCAGTCTGTGAAAAGGAGGTTCTGTTGGTACAAAATCTGGATCTTACCTCGGGTATCTACTAGTTCCCTTTACATCTGTGAGTATTTTTGACTTTCCTACCTGGCAAGGTTGGTGTGGAGTTAAAGTGTACAACCTTGTGAGTTTTGGTTTTCCTTGGAGCACTCAGGAGTCAGGGTGGCTCAAGAGTGTTCGGAAGAGGTTGGACAGGTAGTGTGGCTAAGTGGTTTGCGTGGACCTCTCTGCCCCGCCCTTATCAGATTTTCTTTGGTAGAGGCAGATTTATGGATTCCCCCATGATTATGTATTATTACATTAATATTAATGTATTAGAATTATATTCTTAAAAATATATTTTTAATGTGCCTTCTTTACTCCATTAAAATGTCTTTTCATACAAATGTGGCAGGGGGGCTCACAAGTTACTTGCTATTATAAAAGGGGATCGTGTCTAGAGAGAGGTTGGGGAACACAGTGCGCTAGCAGAACAGCACCACTGCACAAGTGCTTTAGATTTGGAAACAATGTATTAGAATTATATTCTTAGAAATATATTTTTAATGTGCCTTCTTTACTCCATTAAAATGTCTTTTCATACAAATGTGGCAGGGGGGCTCACAAGTTACTTGCTATTATAAAAGGGGATCGTGTCTAGAGAGAGGTTGGGGAACACAGTGCGCTAGCAGAACAGCACCACTGCACAAGTGCTTTAGATTTGGAAAGGTTGATTGACTTCAACTGGCAGTAGCATTGCAAGGACTTGGGCAGACCTATTTCATAGCACCTTGTGTCTTGGCGATACCACAACTGAACGTTGGATGTTCAACACATCCAGCGCAATGTACCATCTCACTATTCTGTCCTGCAAGCTTACAGAGAAGACTTTCCTTAATCAATATCATATAGTTATAGTGAAGACACACAGAGATGTCCTCCTTTCTTTATGGCTCCCTCGCCCTCCCTTTTGGCTAGCTTTTGGGGATTGAATTAAATCTGATCGTGGCTTGGCATGAAAAGGACAGGAAGTCTGATGCTGAATAAGAAGAATGTAGCAATTATTTACAGACAATGGGTGCATTTCAGAGTTGTACTACATATTCACAAACTGAATTCTCAGGAACTGAACACCAACCATGTGGATCTCTCTGGTTATATGAAAATAAGGTTCTTCGAGCCAAGGTCGTTAAGAACACAAGAAAGGGTTTATATTAATTTCTTCAAAATTTCCATTTCAGAAACCCATTCGCTGACTACAAATAATTTTAACCCTTCTTATTCAATGCCTCTCTTCTTCTCCCCTGCCTCACCTCAGCTGACTTAGTTCTGTTTTTTTGCTTTCTAGCCTGCTCCAATATCAAATGTAAGCCAAGCAGCAAGAAAATGGTCAAAAGTGATGGAATATAGCATGGTAAATCAGACTAAAGAGTCCTTCAAATACAGAATGCCTTGACACAGAAGACTGAGCATTTAACAGCTCTCAAAACCAAAAAGGACACATGTTAGGCTACCCTAACAGTTCAGGCTATACAGGACCCTTTCCATCCTGGATAATTTAGCCTTAGATTTCAACTGAGCAAAGGAGATAGACAAGCTATGGGATAGCAATTCAGAAATGCAGTTTACATGCAATTAGTATTTCCATGGGTATAGCTGTGCTAGTCCATGGAAGCAAAAACAGCAGTTTTGTGACGACTTAGAAACTAACAATATTTACTAGGCATCGCTTTCCATGGATTGCATCTTGAGATGTATCTGGGAGAAGTGAATCGGAGTCCACAAAGCGGGATGCCAAATAAAATTTGTCAGTCTTTTAGGTCCCCCATAAATCTCTTTGCCATTTGTACACATACTGAAGCTTGAGCTGAGGCAGAGGGCCCTACTAGGAGGATGACAAAAGTCTTCAGAGGACTGAGGTTGCATTTGACATTGGGGGGAAAGAAGCAGGACCACATGAGTGCTCTGAGAAAGAACTTTCAGACATGAAAGGCAGCAAGCAAGAATGGCAGAGCTGTTTAAGAGACCCAGACATCTTCAGAGAGAGAGCAGGAATAATGAGAGTTGGAAGAACAGCGGCATGTGAAGAGATAAGGGCTGGAAGCCACGGTCGAGCAAGGACACAGACAGCTCTAAAGCAAAAGGATAACATGGGGTTTGTGTTAAATATGGAATGGGATAGGAAGCTGGAGAAGGGATTTAATGACGAGCATTGCATAGGCAGAACAACAAGAGAAATGAACAAATTTGGCATCTGAGGTCTGAATAATTATGCCTGAAGACCGTGACAAAACTAGAAAGTGGAAGGTTGGAGCAGAAGACAGAGCATGAATCTGAGTTCTAGATGATGGGGCAAATTTTACAGAGATTTACATATAGCCTTCCTCAACCCATGGCTCTTCGGGCATTAGACTACAACCCCCATCATCCCCATCCAGAATAGCCATATGTGCTGTGGATGATGGGAGTTAGAAAAAGTTGGGAAAGGCTACAAGACAACTGGGAGGGATCAAAGAAGGTAGTGTTATCAAAAATAAAGCTGGAGAATGATGTAGTCAGTGGATATAGAGAGTGATTTAAAGGGGGGGGGAATCATGCTGTCAGTGGACGAATAGATCCTGTTGTTTGGCAGACAAAAGGTATCCTAATGTCTGTCTTCTAGCCAGCATCCATCCATCCACTGGGATGAGGAGGTACATCATCTAGGAAATGGCACGGAAACCTGCAATTTGTGCACTTGGTTTTGCGAGCAGCCATCCCAGCCTGTTCTCTGATCCCTCTCTCCTCCGCTCCCCATCGGTGCCTTTCCACGCACCAGTTCATGTGTGTCCCTGCACAGGCTGGTGCTCAGGGTTGCTGCAGTGTGATAGGCAAGCAGGGCAGCAAGCCCCCTCCCACCTCCTCGCATGGCTATTTATAGAAGAGAGTGTGGTTCAGGTATAGCTCAGCCAGAGATGGGGGACGCCTGAGCTCATTGCAAAGCAGAGGAGTAAGCGGGTAGGGGGGATGGCGCAAAGGAAGGGAGGAGAGGACTCAGAGGATCTGGCTGCTGCTGCTGCTTGTGAGTGTGTGTGACCAACCACTTAGCAACCACTTAGCATTATTGATGCTCTACTTGTGAGGCTTCGGTTTGCACCAATTCCTGGCTTGCGAGCAGGGCTATTTTGGGAGAAACCCATTCATTCTTTTTCAGACTCAGCGTCTGCAAAGCACCTCTTTGCTTAAGCAGCTGCAGGGACGCATAGGCCCTCCTCCCCTCCATAATCTTCTCACCGCCCCACCCAGAGAGCTCCTTTCGTGCTCCAGGGGACATCTGAAGACAGAGATTTTGCCTAGAGTGAAAGTAAGTCATCAAGGCCAGAGTTTTTATGAGAAAACAGGCCAGACCCATATTCTGAAAAGGAAAGATATGTCTCGGGGCTCAGCCTGCCCAGAAACGCTGAACTCCCCTTCTGAACCCCAGCCCCATATATTTAGATGTGGTTCGTGGTGAAGAAAAAGACACTGCATGCTCAGAGAAGAAGCTGAGAGCCAAACCCCAAAGCCCATTTCTCCTTACCGTGGTGTGACTAATGTTTCCATCTTGTCCAAAATGACGTTCCACATATTGTGAAGACAACAGGTGACTGATAAGAAAAGGAGAAAGATATGTGAAGGCCATTGTTATTGTGTGAGATCCTGCTCCCCTTCTGCCCTCCTATTTTTTCAAGTCCATTCTTGCCCAGCTAAATGATTTCAGGAAACGCAGGTGCTGGAGCACAGATGGTCCACCAAAGCTGTGAGCCTTGCCTTGTGTCCATCTTCCTATCATTATTTTGTCCATCTGTCTCTGCTTGGGATGCCAGTTAGCATCCAGTCCCTAACTACTAATATTGTTGGATTTATGTGTATCCCCATAAGGAAGCTCATTGGCACCCGGAGTCTAACGTCAGCCACTGCTGCTTCCCAAACAAACATCTGTGAGGTTCTACTCCCCCATTTTTTGGGCAACAGATGTCTGATGCCAGCTTTGCCACACTCGCCCACCACTATCACTTCGATTTATTGGCTAGTTCCTCTAGGCTTTCCTCAGCCCAGCCTGCTGAACGCATGAACCCCTCTCTTAAAAGTTCAGGTGAAGATATTCCTGGGAAGAAAAAGAAAGTGTTTTAATTCAGATACTGGGAATTAGGATTAGTTCCTTGGCAAGTATGATTGGGAAATAACAAGACTCTTCCTTCCATATTCCAATAGCGTGGAGACCAACTGCAATGGAAAGGCAATTCTTAAGAGTGCTCTTCATTTTTCATCATCACCAACACACTTCTCCTCCTCCTCCTCCTCCTCCTCCTCATTCCAGGGTTTTTATTCCACCTTTAGTTTACCCCACTTTTCAATCAGATGTTCTTCAAAGTAGCCTTCAAGAACGGAAAACAAAGAAGCCACAAGAAGAATTTTGTGGCACCTTTAAGGTGAACAGATGCATTTTAAGCATGAGCTGACGCCCACAGAATCTCACACTACAATACATCTGTCAGTCTTATTCTTTTCGTTTGTTTGAAACAGCAACATCTTTCACACTCACTCTCTCTCTCTCTCTCTCTCTCTCTCACACACACACACACACACACGCACACGCACACACATGCAGAACAGCTAATAGTGAAAGACTAAAAGCATTTACATCAAATGCACACCTAACTCTTCATTCATCATCTTGTCCTTCCCTAATTAAAATAGCCGCTGGCAAAGTGTTTTTCTTTCCATCCATTTTATAGCCCCAACACTGGAAATAAAACTGTATCTCCAATTAATTCTCAGGACATCTGGTTGAAAGCCGGCACTACTGGCAAGGGCCGAAACTCAATTACCTGACACTCTCGTAATCACACCATCTCTGGTTACAGCCCAAGACTCATCATCAGCTACCTCCTCTTACGGGTAACCTGGTGCCTTGAGCTTAATTTACTTTCAGGATGGAGCACAGAAGGGCAGAAATGATTCCAGATGCCCCATTAAATATTCAGGGGCACTCACCTAATCGCAGTTTTCTGAGAGCCTACTGCATGCCAGAGCAGCAAAAGAAGAAGCCACCACACAAAGAGATATATTTGCATGTTACTGGTAATTACTAGATTTTAAAAAAGCCAAATGTGTTCACAATACTGCATGAATCATGCAACAATAAATCAGTGCATACAATCCTGGGATTTCTGCTGTCATATTCTCACACGCTTATTCATGTATTTACTCCTTTATCCATTAATGCAAGCTTTCAATGTATATATACAGTAGACGTTCATACAATGCCACATGGTTATGAGAAGCCCCACAATATTACCCTAATCGGCTCAGTCACACACACATGCATACGTTAACATAACTTTTATTCACCACACAAATAGTCAGTGACAACCACCATCAGACAGGCAGTGTTATATGGACACCACAAAAAATATACAGTAGTCATGTGCAATGTTACAGTCAAAGCCGCTAACTTCATGCATTATTTTACACACCCAGGGTACAAAATGACACAATTACACACTCACATATTGGACATTTGGTAATACACCAGATAGTTTCTAAGGTTCAGGTCATGATGTGAACTAGAGACCATCAGAGCATACTACCCAGACCCTGTTTTCACTGCTAGCATTCAGCACTAGAATACAGTCGTGCCCCGCTAGATGATTACCCCGCTCTACGACGAATCCGCATTACGTCAATGGTTTTGCGATGTTTTAAATGGGGGAATTTCGCTTCATGTTGATCGGTTCCCTGTTTGGGGAACTGATTTTTCACTTTACGACAATCAGCAAACAGCTGATCGCCGGGTTTCAAAATGGCCACCGGCTTTCAAAATGCCCCCCCCGCTGTTTTCTAGGATGGATTCCTCGCTATACAGGCACCAAAAATGGCTGCAGGATGGAGGATCTTCACTGGACGAGCAGGTATTCAGCCCATTGGAACGCATTAACTGGGTTTTAATGCATTTCAATGTTTTTTTAAGTCGTGCCCCGCTAGATGATTACCTCGCTCTACGACGAATCCGCATTACGTCGATGTTTTTGCGATGTTTTAAATGGGGGAATTTCAAAATGCCCCCCCCGCTGTTTTCTAGGATGGATTCCTCGCTATACAGGCACCAAAAATGGCTGCAGGATGGAGGATCTTCACTGGACGAGCAGGTATTCAGCCCATTGGAACGCATTAACTGGGTTTTAATGCATTTCAATGTTTTTTTTTAATTTCGTTTGACGATGTTTACGCTCTACAGCGATTTCGCTGGAACAAATTAACATTGTCAAGTGAGGCACCACTGTACTGAAATCCACATGAATGAGGTGCCACTCGGTATGTGCAATGTAATCTACCACCAAGGATCAATTGTAGTTAAGACTAAGTCACACATACCCAGAAAAGGTATGTGCAGTGTAATCTACCACCAAGGATCAATTGTAGCTTGCCTCAACTGTGACCAATACATCTCACATAGAAGGCCTGTATCTATGACATGGAAGATGACTTGAGGCAAAGTAAAGTACACATTTGAGCCTCAGTAGTGACATTTTGGCCAGTGTCGTCTTGCTTAGTACTGCTGATGCAATAGGAATGACATCGCTGGCAGCAGCAATTAATTAGCAGATTAGCAGCAATTTAATTAGCAGATTGCTGCTAATTAAAAATACCTTTTTCAATTTTGTGGAACACGCAACTCACATGCAGTTAAGACTAAGTCACACATACCCAGAAATTGAAAAGGGAACTATTTATTTATTGGCAATCTGCTGCTGCCAGTGATATCACTGCAACAGGATATCGGCCTTCATTTTAGAAATTAAAGTACTGTAGGTTTTTTCTACATATCTCCTTGGTGCCTCATCTGATATCAGGACCCACCAATTATGTCAGAGCCAGATATGGGAGACAATGCGGAGGTATCCATGTTGGCTGAGGAGGTGAGGCTGAGGAGCCTAACGCCGAGGGAGGCCCGGAAGGAAAAGACAAGAAATCGGGCCTTCTCGGCGGTGGCTCCTCGCCTCTGGAACAACTTACCTCCTGAGATTCGCGTGGC